ATTACCAATAATTGGTAAAAAAAAAAGTGAGATGGTAAAGGTACCAACGGACCTTGGTAAAAACGCCGAGAATTTTTTATCAGTGCGGACTCTGGATTATCCGGATCGATTTTGCAACCATGTAACTACGTACGCATTCCGATAAGTGAGCGGATCCGCGGAGAAGCGGTCGCAAGGCATATTGGCGCCTGCAAGGCTGAAGGAATACTTCACGCATTGCGCCAAACAGTGAGGTCGGCGTGGAACGCACTAGCGTCTACTAGATTGCATAAATACTTCTCGCATTACGCCAAACGCAGTGCAGTCGGTTAGTTAGCCGAAAACGCACATTAGTGGCTACAAGACTGCATGAATACTTCACGCATTGCGCGCTTTAATCGTTGTATTGTAATTTATCGTTGTCGGCTACCATTCACAATCACCATTGAGTCGTTCAGTTTGGCGTTCACCTTTTAAATTCGTGCTGGTATGTACATGATGTATACATAATAAGAATACTGTGGTGTTGGTTGGTGGTGTTTGTGTTTAGTATTATTATCCGGATTTCTTTTTCATCCGGATCGGGCCTGGCACCAATTAATCCGGATAATCCAGAGTCTACTGTATCTCAGTCATAGTGCCCCCTTTCAGTAAATTCTTAGACCTATTTTTTTCATTTTCTCACTTCGTAGAAATCTGTAAACCTCACGTTAATATTTGGACAGAGTTAAACAGAAAGGAACCAAGCCACATCGGGATCGAACCGAGAGAAAGAGATTTAAAGTTTGGCTCCTGCATAAGACTCAATGTAAAAGATAAACTTTAAGTTCAATTTCTGCAAAATTTGCTCCAATAAAAACTTTGAATTTTGGGCGATAGATTGTAGAGCAGTGGTTGAGTTCAAAGCCACTCATAACTCAATTGTTTTCCAAAATGTGGGTTGGTTCCTTTCTGCTCAACTCAGTCCATTTAAGCAATGGCAATACCTAAACAAAAAAGAAAGAAAAAAAGATTGTTATAGCTGAGCGCTTAAAACGTGTCCTCCTGAATCCTTACATTCCATGATGTGTTGCGGGTTAATTCGGCAGCGAGTCGTCGAGATTCCGGAGCGTACGCGAAGCAGTTCAGTATCACAGAATACACAGGCTTACAATACATAGACTTACAATACATACACCACGGCAAGCGATCTAGTAACGGTGATGGGTGATGCATCACTGATCCGACGTCTCGTCTCCTGTCGCATCGGCCGATGGAGCAAGGCAGTGGCGTCCTTTGCGATTTATCGATTGATCTGTCATTTGATCCTATAGAAAAGTATCGATAAACAGGGTGTTCGCAACGAACGCCTTAATAACCGATTCTTTACCATAGTTTAAATGGGTAAATATCGATAGTCGATCATTCACGCCTCGCCACTGGAGCAAGGCTCCAGGGAAGCGACACCGTCATCTCATTACCGCGGTCGGTCGTCTCGACGTCCGACGTCGTCCATTGTTCCCACAACTGCAACGACGACGCACGTTGAATATTCCCCCGGGTTGCCATCGGAGGCAGAATATTCCAAGAAGTGGACCTGTGGTGTTAAATTAGTTTAGAACTTAAAAAAACTATACAAAAATAGCCCGAATAATCCAAGTATAAAACACAAGAAAACGGGTAACCAAGGCTAAAACAACACAACTCAAAGACTGGGACGTTTCGGGGTGGTTTCAACTCCCTTCTCGACCAGGAAATAAAAATATATTAATTTTATTAAAATCACACGGAAAAAAAAATTGCTAATTCAACAATTCAATTGCTAAAAACAGTGAGTGCAATGTTTCAACGCAGATTTTACAACAAAAAATGCTACTTTAACCACCCGCGTGGTTAAATTAGTTTACAATGTGGTTGAAGTAGCAGTTTTTTGTTGTAAAATCTGCGTTGAAACATTGCACTCACTGTTTTTAGCAATTGAATTGTTGAATCAGCAATTTTTTTTTCCGTGCAAAATTCTCAGGCCCCCATTTCGTGATGAAGTAAAATGTTTTAGATTTTGTTTTTTGTTGTTTTAGCCTTGGTAACCCGTTTTCTTGTGTTTTTTAGTCTGAAGGTAATCTACTCTGCTGCAAACAGCTTAAAAATGTCGATGGCCGAAGTGGGAAAGCTACGTATCTCCGTGTTTCAAAAGGACCGCGCACACTTCTTTTTGGGATGTGTACCACGATCGATTTTCTCGAACTTTAATCAACAAAATTTCAATAAACTTCCCTCCACAAGTCGTACCTCACACCTAACAGAACACCTCACATATCACTCTGTTTAAATGTATCATCTTCATTGCATTTCGATGCGCTAAAATCGCCTTCAAACGTGTCGGTATGCAACACCAACGCTCCTTCAAGTCACTTTGCTCTCGGACGATGAAGTCTTAGATTGAAGCTCTGATTATTTTGAGTTCTCCACTTGTTTTTATGTAAAATAATGGGTTGAATTTTGAAATTGTAAATTTTCCACCCAATATTCGTTATTTTTCCACATGGTTATTTATGATTTGAATAAATCTCTCTTGTGAGGAAAATTTAAAATTGAAAAAATCAATGAGGATTCATCCTTCCCTGGCCTCGCCTTGCAATCAAAATTTTCAAAAGTAGGTTAACAGTACCCTACTTACCGTTAACTTTTTTTCAAATTGCTAGATCTTTTCATGACTAAATGCGGACTAGTAAATATTTACAATATCTGCAATATCGTTGACATGAGATACATGGTTTTGTAGGTTCACCATCACTTGTATTGCGTTCAGCAGAAAGGAATCAAGTCATATCCGTTTTTGCCAAATTTAATAAGGCAATCTAATTTATAACAAGAGAACGTTTGTGCGGATTCATTTGACAATTTTAATGAATTTGCCTCGTACTACGCAGAAGATTTACTATAAACTTTTCACAAAAATCCACACAACTGTTTTCATGTATAGAATGAAATCGCCCAATTAATTTGGCAGTAGCTGGTGTACCTTGGTTCCATTCTGCTTAATGCAGTCCTATTTGCAGTCATGAAAAATCTGACATCGCAGTTCGGTATGACCCATCCGTATGTAATCATCCTGCAGTCCATCAATTACTCATCACTTGTAGGCACATGATAGACGGTCCTATCCCAGACGAGTCATCAGGAGCGACGAATGACGGGCTATCAGCCCTTCACGGCCTTGATCGAAGTTGATACATTTACAGACCACCGACCCTGAAAATGGGCCTGCGTAATTGGAGCACGGCGGAGGGCTATCGGCAGAGTAGATTTATCGTTCGATGCACCTGTGGGATCGTAGTTGCGTCGATTTATGCTGCCGTGCTGAGGAAGAACGCCGTATGAACATTCGAGAGTTGCCAAATTTCCTTCGATGAAATGTTAATTTTTGAGGAAAGATATTAAAATTTCTCCCAGAAATTTTCAGAGACTTTGGGTGAAATTGCGAACAAAATTATCTGAAAAATGGGAAGGAAAATATTCCTGAGTTTACCTGGAAATTCGTGTTTGATCAAAGGAAATTTGGCAACGCCTGAAGGTTCATACGGCGTTCTTCCTTAGCACGGCAGTATGCTGGATCGATTAGAGGCCTCGAGATCCTGATTCATTAGTGACGTTGATCATGTTATGGTCGTAAGTCGGTTAGCGGCCTCTTTTTTAGAATAAAATCAGACTTAGTATCATAGAGAAACATTTTTTTTTGAGAAGAAAAAAACGCTAAAAATGAGGCCGAATACTGTGAGTAACAGGATGGTAGAACAACAATGCCGCCGTGATAGCGAAGAGAGCCGTAAGTGCAAAATTTTCGAAATCGAGTTTTCTTCAAAATTCGTCTAAACTCCTTTAGATGAAATTACCGAGACAGCTAAAACAGCAAAATTCATCCTAATTTAATGAAGACGAGACGTATGAGAAAGCCGTAAGTGCACAAAAAATGACATAGTTTTTTTCAAGACAGTCGCAGGTGCATGAGAGCCAGTGAAAACAGTGCTTTCCAGTAAGGTGCCGCCCTCTTCTGCCAATTTCTAACCTGATAATGTGTTTGTTGTGCGTCCAAAACGCAACCATGAAAGCATGCAGAAGATATTACTCACGGCTGTCTTGCCTAACAATAACCTAGCATGAAAATGAAAAATACCCTTTTTATGTGATGGAAATAAAATCAGTCGATTTTTAATCATCCATACGATTTCCAGGAGTCGTCCAGACGATTAGTGACAATTTGACAAAGAACGGAGGCTTTTTTCAATAAAATGTTCTTGTCAGAAGCTTCTGAGCTCGTTTTCTCAAAACTTCATTTTTGCACTTACGGCTCTCTTTGCTATCACGGCAGAATGGGTCTATACTATTCTCAGGAGAAATCAAAGCCAGGACTCTAATCCTATTTTTGGGTTTTTCTGCTTTTGATTTTCCCTTAGAACAATGTGGATTTACCCTTTTACTAAACAAAACACAAGAAAATGAGAACCAAGGCTTAAAACAAACAAACACAATATCTGGGACGTTTTGGGATGGTTTCAACCCAGAACGTAATCCCAACCCCAAACGTCCATAGTCCTAACCCCAAACGTTAGCCTTAGTTGCCCATCTTCTTGTGTTTTGTTTAGTTTAGTTAAATTATTCAAGCTATATTTGTGCGTTATCCTTGCATCTTTATACTGTCGTCCTGTTTTCCTTGAAGAAAATTGCATTTTTTTTTTTTTTAAATTTTATTAATTCTGATTCATTGAATGAGTATTTGTTGTATGTATACACTATTTTTTAGTACTCCTTTTTATGCGTAATGCCCAAAGAATTGCGCAAAACAAAAACTTTTCAATGCGTTTGACTGGCACATTTAGATGCATATAGTGATTTACACAGGAACGACCATCAGCCTGCGTAAACACCAAAAATTAAATTCTTCGAATTTTCAGTTTTTGAAATCAGACATAAACAGGTCAAATCTTCATTCGAGTATTAACTTTCCCAAAATATTCTTCCAGACGAAAAAAAAGCAAACAATATTTTTTCTTCTTCTTAACCAAATTTATTCCTTATTCTTATTATTGATACAATATCCATGAGACTTAATTCAAATTTGAAAGATTAAAATTAAATGAGACTTATTAACGTGCGAGAGTGAGTGTAAGTGCGAGAGGGAGAGAAAGGGGTAGAGGCAGCGTTGATCCGATAGAGCCCAGCCTCAGATGTTTTAGAGAGGTTCAAAGCCATGTGACGCATGTTGACTTGAGACTGGATCTAGGTTTGGAACCTACAAATAAAAAAATAAAAAAACAACACGTCAGTACCCAACAAATTTACAAATAAATACATCAATCAATTTAAAAGAAGAATTTAGATTTTTAAAAAAACCCTTTCGATGAACTTCTTTCAACTAGCTTTTACAGTATATTAACTTTTAATTGAAAATTTATCAAAATATGATTCAACATTAATTGGACCACATTTTACAATTAAGAACCACTATTTCTTGCTCATTTTAGAAACAACATATATGCCATTGGTTTCCCTATACCGGTAGATGCTTTTGTGGAAGAGCCAGAGATAGTGGTTCCTTATTGCAAAATGTAATCCAATTGGCGTATCGTTTTCAAAATTAACCATAAAAAGTAAATAAATTCATCAAAACCATAAAAAGTAATTAAATGTCCTAAAAAATTCAGAAAAAAAAAAATTAATTCTACCGAGCAGTTTTGATGAAGAGAAAATATTTTTGGCGCTTGTTTATCAGTTCCCGTGACACTTGTCGGTTCTTCAATGGTGCAATCTGAACGTGTCCGTATCTTGGAGTTACGCTCTTTCCGAAACTAATGAAATTTGCGCCCACCTTTTCGATGTATAGTAATAAAAAAATAAAAAAAATTGGAAGGAGAAATTAATAAATGATGCGCTTGACTCTGAAACCAAATCTCCGAAATGAAAGGGAATTTTTATTTTTCCCAAATTGAGCAGTTTTCAATTCAATCTCAATTATAAAATAATCGGGTTTAAACATTTTATGCTCTAAGTTTTTTTAACATTAATTTAAGTTTTTGATATTTTGTGCTTTGATGGGTAAATTTATTGTTTCTTGATACTTACTTGGGGCGGTGGTCCTTTAAACGTTGATGATGTCGAAGGAAGTCCTTTCCTTGCCGTTGAGGGTGATGACGTCAAAGGCGACGCGTTCCTTTCCGTTGAGGGATACGATGTCAACGACGTTGCGTTCCTTTCCGTTGAGGGCGATGACGTCAACGACGTTGCGTTCCTTGCCGTTCAAGGCGACGATGTCAACGGTGTTGCGTTCTTTGCCGTTGAGGGCAACGATGTCGATGACGTTACGTTCTTGTCCGTACATGTTGAAGTTTGGTTGGGGTTTTGAGTGGTTTGAGAAGAATAAGCTGAAAGATAGAAAAACATCAGTTGGAGTTTATTTTTTCATTTTAACGCAGGAAAACACATTTCGGTACACTGGAAACAAAACACGTTGGATCTAGAGCCCAGACTCTTACAAACATCGACAAGAAAAAAATACTCTTGATTCAATCGAATTTTTGCTTAAATTCAGAACCAAGCCTTTTAATTTGAGCGGATTTCCTTTTGATTTAAACAAAAATCTGATTGAATCAAGAGTATTTTTTCTCGTCAATGTTTTCAAGAGTCTGGACTCTAGAGTCAATGTGTTTTTTTTCCAGTGTATAGTTGCGTGGATTATAAAAGTCAGTCGATTGCCCCTGGTTAAAACTTAACCTTTAACTACCGAAATCTTCATTTTCTTCTTCTTTTTTTTTGTTTTGAAAATGTTAGTTATACACACACGTTTTCAAAATATCGATCACATGTTTGGACTCATTGGAATTGAAGAAAATCAAAAAATTTAAGCAGACTTTTAAATTCAGCAGGCACTCGGAGCACCTTTTAAAGTTTTAACTGCACTGGAAAAAAAACACATTGGATCTAGAGTCCAGACTCTTGAAAACATAGACAAGAAAAAGGACTCTTGATTCAAGCAGATTTAAGCTTAAATCAAAAGGAAATCCGCTCAAATTAAGAGGCTTGGTTCTTGATTTAAGCTTAAATCTGATTGAATCAAGAGTATTTCCTTGTCGATGTTTTTAAGAGTGTGGAATCTAGATCCAATGTGTTGTTTTTTTCCAGTGTGGAGGTAAACTTTTAACTGGAGATGATAGAACTAGCTCTAAATGGAATCGTGAAATGATATGGAAATTTAACAGTTCATGGTGGCAAAATTTAAATGCAGTGTATTTTGCAAAAATCGAATCGAAAAATCGAATTTGAATGCTGCGGTGGAAAACTCTCGGTAATTTCCTAAAGAATATACTTTTCAAGCGGTTCATTTTATTTTAATTTTCAACATGAAGCGTGAATTTGAATATAAAACAGCAATTTTGTGCCCTGGACATGACACATTGAATTTTAATAGCTTTTGACCGACAAAATTAAGCTTTTTAAATTGAAAAATGTCGACTGTCCCATAATTTGGCCTTTGGAAGAGCTCTTTTTGACCCGGAAAGTTTGTAGAACACAAATCTGTGCTGTAGTATCAAAAATGTAATTTTTGGTTTTTTTGCACCCGCCTTCGTTTTTTCGTGGACAGTCAAGTGTATATGATTTTTATAATGAAATCAAGTAATGAAGTATCAACAACAGCCAGCTTCTCAATTTCAGTGATATTGAATTAATATTCACAAAAGCATTATGTTACAAAAATCCCGCAGTTACTCTCATTGAAGGATGTTAACTATCATTTTGAACGTTTAATTAATTATTAATGTGACTCACTTTTGTTGTAGCACTCATAAGACCAAACTAACTGGAGTCTCATGAGTTCTTGATAATTGTATCAATAATGACATTAATAAATTTCTGTCTTTTTAATTTTGAGAAATCTCAATTATCGCGTAAAAAGTACTTTTTGGTCAAATCTTTCAGTTGTTAATTAATTTAACAAAAAATTGTTAACTAATTAAATTGGGAGAAAATTTGGAATCGGCAACAAACGAGGAACCTTTTAAATGAATCATTTTTTTTTTTGTAATTACAAAGAAGAAATAATTATCTACAATGTCTTTACAGAAAAACTCAGATTGTTTGAATGAGCAACTGAAATTACTTCGTCAAGTTTTTGCAACGATATTTTACAAAACTAAGAATGAACACTTACCTTGTGAGAAGCGTGCAAAGTCGGAAACAATATGACTTCTGAGGAAAGCATGGGCTTTATATACTTGAAAGATAAACAGAGAACATGATGACATGATCAGTCATGAGACAGCCCGATTTTAAGGGGAAGTGTATCATTGATCTCTGACTCCCAATCGCAACACAACGGACCACCAAAATCACCAATCAGAGGCATGGCGCGATGAAGCGCTCTGTTTTTGTCGATCTTTGCTCTTATCGTCTGTTCTCAAGCAGCTTCTCACTTCTAATTGTTTTGCTTTGATCGCAGAAATTTTCTTCTCATAAGCTTTTGATCTTTTTTCTCCGGTATTGAATGTACTTTGTGCACAATCATTTATCCTTAACGGTATAAAGCAAATCACAATTAAATACAGAAAATGGACCTCAGTGCGCGAATGCAAATTTTTCGAAGAGGTACTTCCATCGAGTTTGGTCGAAGTTTCGAAATATAAAATTGTGTTAGGAAAAACACTCTATTATTCCGAAGCAAGGATAAGTTTTAAGGATTTTAGCCCATTTTTGTGCTACGAGTTGATTGTTGCTTTTTAATACGACATTTCTAGGCCCCGCACAGGGTAGATTAAAATTTTTAATAGCATTTAGGGTTGCCGCAGTAGTCGTAGGAAAACAGGGAAATGTTAAGAAATTTTAAAAAGTCAAAGAAAACCGAGAAAAATAAGGCAAAATGACGAAAGTTTCAGGGAAAAATTGTTATTTCATACCTTTCTTTAACGTATTTTACGTTTCGGAAAACAAATGTTGCGTGTTTGGGTTCGGAGGTGGCAATTTTCAATCATCGTGCATATCGCCGAACGCCTGGAAATTGTACCAAAATTTTAAGGAACATCAGAGAAAAGTCAAGGAGTTCCATTTTCTAAATTCTATGACAACCCCGCATTTTTGGCAAACTGCATCTTCTTAACGTTCATCCGGTTTGGTTTGACTTCTAAGGCAGTTTCTAAATGTGTTTAAATCAAACCTGAAATCATCAATTTCTCATCTTCTGGCATTCATCAATTATTTTTTGATTATCATTGAGCACTGAATTACCATACAAATTATCAACTTACATTAAAAACAAATCTTGATAACATGAAGACTGTACTATTTTATAATTTTTGACTATACGAACGACTTTTATCAGAATCCCCCGATCTCTAAGAATTGGCTGTCTTTTACCTTCTCATCAGTGATGGTATAGTGTCAAATTAATTTTCAACTCCATTCTTGCTTTTTACCTAGCTGTCTTGGAGAGGAGATTCATTTTATTTTATCCGATGAGTCCGAAACATGCTCGGTCGTTTTCGGTTCTCGGTTTAGTTGTGATAGAGGTGAGGAAGTTTTAAACCTTGCAGATGGATGAAATTAGTATGTTTTTTAAGTAAAATAAAAAATACCTTGGCTAAAGTTTAACGTTTTTTTTCAGTCAGTACTTACTTTATAGCACTTAACAGACTCTTTTTCTATAGTAATATTCCAACAAAGTGACCTGATCCTACAGTAGCAGCCACGAATTGCAAGTGTAAAATTCACTTTTGTTTTTAATCATTGCTGTCAATTTTACCGCCTCTAGTCCTGTAAATAGTTGCTTTTCTTTTAACGAGCGTGAAAATACTTTTGAAAATCTTACCCTCTCTCATAACCATGCTTTTGGAACTCCGAACTTATTCAAATCATACAATGCCGGTTTGGTTTGATATAGTTTAATGCTTGTTTTGTATTATTTCTTTAAAACATTTGCTTAAGTAATGGTATCAGCATCTCAATGTTTAGTTTTTCGTCACCAGGGTCCATTTTCTAGAAAATCTTCTAAAATTATCTGAAATGGATCACATGTCACTGAATTTTACCCCATCCATACATGATCAACTTTTAAACAAAACTTTCCTGATATAAATCCAATTTTTCTTAGTATCATGTACTATTATGTTTGCAGTTGAATCTAAAAGTCAAAGCAACCCTTCTGGATGCTCCGAAAAATGTACAACACCCTATGGCATGGTCCGCATCAAAAGATTATTCGCAGCACCACGTCAGCCTTCCGTTCCCGCCCTCGGTGAACCATTACTGTTACCACGCGAAAAGCCGCCATTTTATCACGAAAGAGGGTCGTCAGTACCGGAATGCTGTAACGACCGAGGTATTACGCCTCGAATTGGCCGTGCGGCACCGCGGGAAAATCGGAATGAAGTTGGTTGCACACCCCCCGGATCGCAGGAGACGCGATTTGGATAACCTTCTGAAAGCACCCCTGGACGCCCTGCAACACTCCGGTATCTACGAAGATGACAACCAGATCGACGATTTGCATATTGTTCGCGGAGAGAAAGTCGATGGTGGACGACTTGACGTGACGTTAACGTTTATGGACGTGCGTTGACGAAAAAAGCTGTGGAATATCACCAAGGATTTTGAAAATTTTGTACGCTGATTATTGAGGAACACGGTGATTCCATGGACTTTCGTCGAAAAAACCGGAGAAGCTAGAAAAAGACAAAGAAGTATGCAAAACTTGAATATTCAGGGAAAAGTCAGATAGTTTATCGTCGTGAGAATAGAAAATTACCTTGGGAATTATTATTAATAAAAAATTATAACATTAGGAGAGTTGTGACTACATGGGCTACAAATTATCATCTAGAACTTGGAATTTCTGCTCTAGATATCAATATTATTTTAATGTATTTAGCTCTATCTTGGCATAAAAATTGAATGAACATCGAGGTCGATTATTTTATGAGGTATAGGCTTCCATCCTAGTTACGACCTTAACGTGTTGGACTTTTTTTCCAGCTTGTGAGTTGATTTTAAGAAAACCAGGGACTTCATCAAGTTTTTCGCAATATTTTATCCAGTGACTTTTTGCATTAACTTAATTCCTGATTCTTGATCACAAAAATCTACAATACGGAATCTGCAAACTGTGAAGTCAAGGTTCGGTAATTACTCCGAAATGGCGGCGTCACTGAGTCAAAATTGGACGTAGTTGTGTAAAAGGAACTATGTTGCACGCAAATCCTATGGACATAGTTCCTTTTAGCATACATACGTCAAAAGACTAGGTTCACGTCATTTTAGAGAAAACCAGGGACTTCGTCAAGTTTTTCGCAAAAGTTTATCCAGTGACTTTCTGCCTTAACTTTATTCTTGATTCTTGATCCCAAAAATCTACAATACGTAGTCTGCAAACTGTGAAGTCAAGGTTCGGTAATTACTCCGAAACGGCGCCTTCACTGAGTCAAAATTGGACGTAGTTATGCTAAAAGGAACTATGTTGCACACAAATCCTATGCACATAGTTCCTTTTAGCATCACTGAGTCAAAATTGGACGTAGTTATGCTAAAAGGAACTACGGTGCACGCAAATCCTATGCACATAGCTCCTTTTAGCATCACTGAGTCAAAATTGGACGTAGTTATGCTAAAAGGAACTATGTTGCACGCAAATCCTATGCACATAGTTCCTTTTAGCATCACTGAGTCAAAATTGAACGTAGTTATGCTAAAAGGAACTATGTTGCACGCAAATCCTATGCACATAGTTCCTTTCAGTATACATACGTCAAATTTAGACTAGGTTCACGTCCAGAATCTTAATAAGTCAGCCCACCGAACAACTCAATTATCCAGATGTCCTAGCTATCGGCGGAGTCGGTTTCCGTCGCCTCATTGTCCCAGTCCACTCCGCACCTAAAATCGGAAGCTCATTTGCGTATCTCTTTATGCTGTCGTTGATGTTGGGTTCGGTCATCGCAACAATTAAATATTGCGTGTTTAATGAGCATCGGCGTGTAGGATTCAATGGGCCCCGATTGTGAAACGAAAGTTGAGGCAAGCTCCATGCCTCTGAGGGCGAGATAGTGCACAATGTTTCAACTCGTAGGTGAGCTCGTTGCCTGTGGACTGAGCTATACCTTTGTCGCAGAAGTCGCACATTTTTTGTTTCCCTCACGAAAGAACTTAACTCTTTTTAATGTTGTCAAGTTTCTTATCGTAAATTGCATATCCCAAGAGAATTTTGGGCTTCTCTAAACTAAAATTTCACTGATTTTTCCTCTGTTCTCGTGCAAAAATCAGGAAAATTTTGGACAAAAATTGCAGAGGTGTACTCTTGTAAAAAATTGAATTATTTTAATGAATTTTGCAACCTTTGAATGAAGTTACGTTCCTTCGTCTGGGAAATTTTGAAACGCTTCTATGAACACTTGGACTATATTTTGCAATTTGGAACTATAAATCCTAGCCCGGTTTAAAAAACAATGTATATGCCATTAGTTTCTCTATGCACATAAGTGTTTTTCCAGAAGAGCCAGAATTTATAGTCTCAAGTTGCAAAATGCAGTCCACTTGTCCTTAAGCAACATTGATTTAGCTTGTATGGACTTAAAGTCATGAAGCACGTTTTGCAATTTTGAACTATAAATTCTAGCCCGGTTTAAAAACAAACGTATGTGCCATTAGTTTCCCTATGCTTATGAGTGTTTTTCCAGAAGAGCCAGAATTTACAGTTCCAAGTTGTAAAATGCAGTCCACTTGTCCTTAAGCAACATCGATTTAGCTTGTATGGACTTAAAGTCATGAAGCACCGTTAACCAATCAATGGAATTTGATTGATGACTTCGACTTCTAACCTCAAGCCGCGCTACAAGAGCTTTCGAACAATGGAAATGAAAAGGGTCAAAGCAACAGCGAGAGTGACCGGCCAGGAGTTTCCTCGACCCGATAGAGACCGCGCTGTTTTCATACCGTAGTAACCCATGCGTTCAAGGTCCCCCCTCCTGCCCCCACCCCCCATATTGCTGCGTTTCGAAAAACTCGGATTTCGCGTCGCAAGAAAATCGTTGTCCCGCTGAAGTAAAGACCTAAGTGCGTTGTTAAATGAGCTGTGGATAATGTGTAGTTATACGGACAACAGGGGTTATTCTGAAGTGGAATTGCGCCCTTACTGAGCGAGGCTGCGGAATGACGAATGAAACCGAAAGGAATTTGAAACCATATTAGGGTAAGTCTAGTTGGCCCCCGATGGCCACCAGCCGCACTCAGAGCAAGATCCATCCTCGAGAGACTTCAGAGACACTCGACACGCTATGTCCTATGTGCATCGTTGCAAAATGAGCGTGGGATATCCATATTATCTGTCTCGAAATAGTGAAAACGGAACGGAGCTATCTCACACAAAGCCTAAAGAGGTTTTCATTGATGAAAACAAGGGCAGAGTACCTGTATGCGGAGAGTATGGAAGATAAGTAATTTTGGAGGTTACGTTATGGAACTTTAAGGGCCCAAAAAGGCAGCCATAACCTATGAAGTCTTAGATGACAATTTAAATTGTCCAGAATGATTTAGTATTACAATTTTAACGGCCCTTGATTTTGGAATCTTAAGATTGGCAGAGTCATTTTTTCAGTGTTTTTCGTATTAGTAGTTTGGCTGCCCTTTTGGACCCTATAAGAGCTTCATTTTTCGACGTGCCCGTACTCTTCCCTTAAAGGTACTCTAAACAAGGTAATCCCTTTTTTATGTTAACTTTAACCTCTTCCCCCGCCCCACAGTAGATCGAGTCAATGAAAGAGGTCAGACAAGACATTTTTTACTACAACTGCAAATTTTGAAGTTTATTTCGTCACATTTTAAATTTTAAGGGATAGGTACCTCTAGAAGAAAATTTTACGAGGAAACCAATGAACTACTACTGAACAAACAAACTACTTCTGAAAACTGAAATTTTCGTGTAAACGAAGTTATAAGTGTTTAAAATTTCCAAATTTTGTCCGACCTCCCATATTGAGTCGATCCATTGTGCGCCCTCGGGGTCCTTTGGAGTCTGCCTCTAAGCTGAGTTCTGATGTCAAAATGTCAAATTTGAGAATCACAGATTTTAGGCGTTTCGTGGCCTCCTAAATACACTCCCAAAAGATTTAAAAAATGCATAAAATTTTCCATCTCTGCCCTAGACCTTTTGTGCAGTTTCTTGTCGGAATTTCGTGTGTTCTGGCAAGCCTGGAGACGGTCGATGGACGAAGGCGGTGAACCGAAGCGCGTAGAGACACGGTCACCGTCAGATGACGGCGGGACGTGACGAGACCAAAATCGCCTCAAAATGACCGTAGATCATAGCTTTTCCCTATTAGACTTAAAAGGATTAATCGACAATCTGGCAACTCTGGGCATGGTTGCCATTTCTCTGAAAAATAGACAGTTTGCTACGAATGTCGACCTACAAAAATGAAACATTGAATTCCGCAAAAAGGACACAAGAAACCACTCGTGTGCGAGTAATGTATCAGTTACTTTAGTCATAAGTAGAGACAAAATACAGCGTGTCCCAAAGTTAGTTGTAGTATTTTTGCACGGTTGCCATTTCCCTGAAGAAAAGACAGTTTGCCACGAATGTCGACCTACAAAAATGGATTATTAAATACCGCAAAAAGGGCATAAGGAATTACTCGTGTACGAGTAATCCGTCAGTCACGTTAGTCATAAGCAGAGACAAAATACAGGGTGCCCCAAAGTTAGTTGTAGTATTTTTTCAGAATCAACTTTTGGGTTCAGAATAAGACTTTCTTGTTCTATGACGTTTTCCCGAAAAAAAAATCCCCCCCTCAAAAATTGAAGCCCCTCAAAACCTCCCTTGAAATATTATTTCAGTTTTTTTGAGGTCAGAATTATGTTCAGCATGTAAAAGAACATCGAAGTGTTAATTTAATTTTTGGCCCAAAAAAATTTAAAAATGAATACCTATTTCAACTCGCCGCTCCTCTGACGTAAGAGCGTATCTCGATTTCTGCATGCATGGGCCCCAGAGAACATGGATTTATGTGTAAAACAGGGCTCATGTGGAAATTGAGTTACGCCCTTACGTCATCAGAAGTGCGGCGAAATCAGACTACGTGAACTGCTGTAAGCTGTTTCACGCATTCAAGCTAAAGCCGTCCAAATGCTGAGACTATCTATTGCTCGTAAAATTTTGGAGTGAAGTTAAAACACAGGCCTCCAAGCACGGTGTTATTAGCGGAAATTATAGTGGATGATGTCATTCACCGCGCGCAGTAGAACGTACCGCAGTTCCCTCTATCCTGGACCGCCTTCATAGGAATAGTCATGAAAATGGAGCTGTAGGAAGTTGGCTTGAGGCCCGTAAAATTTAATGGGAGCGACCGAACGTTTTCCCTCGGGCCAGATTCTTATATTCTTTGCCTCGTTGGGACTGTAAAAAAAATTAAAATTTCTCAAAAATAGTACATTCTTAAGGTCTCTTCGCAAAATTGAGCGGAATCTCACAATCAGAAATAACAGGGAAAGAAGAGCGCCCCATATCGCAATAAACGCGGTTGTACATACATTTTCATTAAAAGAACACACACTTCACTCATGTTTTAATTACTTTAATTATTTAAAGACCGTGTAATTAGCCGTGATAACAAGGAAATGGGTGGGAACCACCGCAAACACCTTAAAGAACATGGGAAACTGAACGGAGAACGTGGTTTAAATAGGCCTGTAGGGCAACAACGTAAGTATTTATGGATAGTGGATTTACATGAAACCATCTAAAAATTAACAACTTCGCGTTCGCCATGGGATTCTGTGAAGCAATTACAGAACATTGCAAAAGAGTTTCGACCGCTCGTATTCAATACAGGTTTTGTGTATTCATCTTCAAACTATAATAGAAAGTCTATTTGAGTTGATACGAGATCAAAATTGTGAAGCTTTTCTTAAAAATTGCAGTTATTTTAAGAAATCGAAGAAAATCAGAAAATCTAAGCGCACCGATCTGACCTGTGAGTTGTTCTTAGTTCTATTGCATGTTAGGGGAAATTTAAATTCGCCGATTTCAACGTATGTAAACGCCCTACTTGCACTTTTAAGTTGATTTTGAACTTTCTCAATACGCTCGACGTGAAATTTCGATGAGGAATTATGTTTTGTGTTTCTATACTCTCACTTGGATTGCATCTTGTAAGTACAAGAGCATTCCAATATCGCTAAGATTGTGCAACTGACATTCTTAGCGACATTGGAATATTCGTGGTTTCTTTTTGTAAAATGCAATCCACTTCGTCTATTATCTTATTATGCACTGAAAAAAAAATCTCTGTGTATTTACTAAGAAAAGGGTAAAATTACCAAGAATTCAGGGTTCTATTTCATCCCAGTTTTTTCTTGGTAAAATTACCATTTATGGAATTGGTAATTTTACCGAGAAATCTCGGTAAAATTATTGACTCTCTCGGTAATTTTACTGGGCCCCGGTAAAAACGCCAATATTTTTTATCGACTATGGTAGAATTACCGAGATAAAATGGCAAAGTTACCGAGAATTGATTACCAATAAAAGTGGTATTCTTACCTGAAAAAAACAGTAAAAATACCGGTTTTTAGGTAAGCTTACCAATCTGTCTTGGTAAAATTACCAATATTTGCTAAAAAAAAAGTGAGATGGTAAACGTACCAACGGACCTTGGAGAAAACGCCGAGAATTTTTTTTCAGTGTGCATCCTCTCCATCCGTATTTCAAACCGGCACCGCGACTTCTTATCATCGGAGCTTTCTTCTCAGCTCCTTTGCGCTGGATGATAGTCAGCTTTAGAATGTTTCCCACTTGAGGCGGTGTTTTGTTGATTCGTTTAAACAGTCCAATCAGTCAGCCTGGCGCCGCGTGGAAGGAGCAAAGCTGAGAGAATAGGGCAATAGTCATGCAAATGAGCCGAGGGTCGCCGCTAGGGAGGTCTGGGAAGAAAGGCGTTAATTAGATAGGGGGCCGCGCGGTTGTCAACTCGTTGTCAGGAATCTATAGAATTGCGTTTTCAATACTGCCGTGCTAAGGAAGAACGTCGTATTAGCCTTTAGGCATTGCCAAATATCCTTCGAAAAATTAAGAATTCTCAGGAAAATTTGTGAATATTCCTCTTTCGATTTTTCTGAGAATTTTGTTCATAATTTAATCTAAAAAGTCTGAAAATTTCAAGGAAAAATATTCATAACACTTTTCCAAAATAAATATTTTCTAAGAGGAAATTTGGCAACACTCGAATGCTCATAAGGCGTTTTTACTTAGCACGGCAGAATAGCGCTGTATGGAATAGTTTTTCGGAAGAGTAGTTGGACAACAATGGTTTGTCACCGATGAAGAGGCTCTAAAGTAGAACATGGGGATGGAGTGAGAAAAACACCGAATCTTAAATAATGGGGTAGTGAAGTCAATTTGTCGATTTTGTTTGTTTTTTCCCCTGATTTATATTCACCTGAATTTCGTTTGTCGCCATACATAAAAATATACGCCACAACAATATACTCGCACGTTTTGAACACTCTTTCCAAAAAAAAAAAAAAAAAAAAAAATGATGCAAAATACACTCATGCAAGTTACCTTCAATTATTGGAAAAATTATAGAGATTATGCTTACAAAGTTACAAAATCTCGATTCAAAATTTTGCCTCATTTTTTTAAAAAAAAAATCAAATATGAGAGAAATAGGCAATGCAGATGCATCTAAGCTGATTCTAGTTAAAGTCCAATCGTACTTGTCAGTATAAGTGCAAAGGATCTGCCAAGTGGAGGTCTGAGATATACTCTCTACTTTTCTACAGCTGCGTTAAAGTCTCCGAGGAATATGTTCTTTAAATCCGTCCAATCATGTGCGTTTGTCTTCCTGTAATGTAAGAATTCACGTAGTGAAGGTCTGCTGAAACAGACTACATAGCTCTCATTCAGCTGAGATATTCTCTCTACTTTTCTACAGCTGCGTTAAAGTCTCCAAAGAATTCTTTCTTCAAATCCGCCCAATTATATTGTCCCCCTCCGCCTAGTGAAGGTCTGATCAGACAGGCAACATATTATCTCATTGTTAGCTAAGATATGCTCTCTAATGGTGGAAATCAAAGCATGAACTGCCTTCATTTTATAGTATTTTCTCAATATTTCCCCCCCTTTTATTCTGGAGTACACGTACCTATGTGTAAATTAATAAAGCTGATTGATAGTCGTGGATAATGATTCTATTATCTAACGTTGCTCTGTATATTTAATGAAATTAGTTTAGTTTATTTAAATTATGTAGTTAGATACAAGAAATATTCTTGTAGCAGTTACGTTGTACTAAAATAAAATGTATTTAAAGAAGAAGAAGAAAAAAATTGTTGTGTGTACTGTATTAACGTTTTGATTAGAATATCCTCCCGAAATCGGTCACGCTTGGTGGAAATGGAGATGCTGCATGTGTGAGGGATTTGCGATTTGACAATTGATTCTTATGTAAAAGTTCGCGAGAAACACGATGGTGCCACTGGTTTTCTCTGAAATCAACTCCCAAGCTCAAAAAAAAGCACTCAAGTTGAGGCCAAAATGAAGGGAATATCCCACCCTACCCTGAGAGTCCACCTCTACATCAAGACAAACTCTCCATGCAAAGATAGGGAGCAAATACATTGACAGGGCTGCCACTTTATTTGGGGACTCTCAAACTGAAAACAAGGCATCGCTGCTAATGTCTTTGCTCCCTATCTTTGCATGGAGAGTTTGTCTTGATGTAGACGTGGACTTTCAGGATAGCGTAGGATATCCCCTCCATTTGGCCTCAATTCGAGAGCTGTTTTTGAGCTTGGGAGTTGATTTCAGAGAAAACCAGTGGCACCATCGTGTTTCTCGCGAACTTTTACATAAGAATCCATGGTCAAATCGCAAATCCCTCATACATGCAACATCTCCATTGAAGCATCAACTGCTCCTATTTCGCAGTGTTTTCCCAATTTTTTTGTTCTCTTTTGTCTGGATTATAATGTGTTCCTATGTGTAATTGTGTAGATACAGGCGATTGATTTTCGTGTGTTGTGTGTTGCAGGATTCGGCCACAGATCCCGCGGGAGGTGATCGATATGTGCCGGGTGTGCACGACGGTGACCCCGGGGGAGCCGCAGGTGATGCTCGGCTCGGACAAGGCCTTCACCTACGACTACGTCTTCGACATGCACGAGACCCAGAGCAACATCTACGAGAGATGCGTCGAGTCCCTCGTCGCCGGCTCCCTCCAGGGATACAACGCCACCGTCCTCGCTTACGGACAGGTAACCCTCCGCCTCCACGTCCCCCAACCCCGGGTTTCAGGGTTGCCACGGTCGGGGAAAACCGGGAAATGTCAGGGAAAATGACTAAAAAAGTATGGATTTTCTGTTGTGCATACCAAATATAACGATCTCGGNAGACCCAGAGCAACATCTACGAGAGATGCGTCGAGTCCCTCGTCGCCGGCTCCCTCCAGGGATACAACGCCACCGTCCTCGCTTACGGACAGGTAACCCTCCGCCTCCACGTCCCCCAACCCCGGGTTTCAGGGTTGCCACGGTCGGGGAAAACCGGGAAATGTCAGGGAAAATGACTAAAGTAGAGTACCTATATTGAGAGAGTATGGCCACTGGGCCCCATGGAGAGGCTTTGGACCCAAAAATGGCGGTGCTTTGTTTTGGTTTTTGTGGATGAGAGGGGGAGTCATTGCCAACTTTTGACCGTTATCACCAACCGCACTTGCTGCCAACCTTACGATATCTAAGATAATTTTTCTCAAAAATTGCACATGATTAGCCTTAAAAATATGTAAAGAAGTCGCAATGGTGCATTTTTGTAAATTTCTCGTTACGATAAGCAAAGAAAACTACATTTTGAGTCATTTTGCATTACATTAATTTATGGCGTCCGCCATTTTTGGGCCCTAAGGGCTCCATTTAGCCTAAGATGCGGCTGAGCCAATCAGAGGTGGTAACACCAGTGGCCATACTCTCTCAATATAGGTACTCTAGACTAAAGTGTCAGGGAAAAATTGGACCGCGTTTAACAGAAAGGAACCAAGCCACATCAGCTATTGCCAAATTTAACAGGGCAATATATTTTTTTACCAGAGACCGTTTGTGTGGATTCCTCTGAAAATTTTAAGGAATTTGCTTCGTACTATGGAGGAAATCCACTAAAATTTGCACGAAAATCCGCACAATCATTTTCATGTAAAAAATTAAATTGCCCAATTAAATTTGGCAATAGCTTGGTTCCTTTCTGTTCAACGCGTTCCAATTGTTACTTCACCTTTATTTGCTTTCCAGAATAGGTTTGGCATTTCGAACAGCAGATTTTGCATGGAAACTATTTCAATTTACGTACACTGGAAAAAAAACACATTGGATATAGAGTCCAGACTCTTGAAAACATCGACAAGAAAAAATACTCTTGAATTCAATCGGATTTTTGCTTAAATCAAGAACCAAACCTCTTAATTTGAGCGGATTTCCTTTTGATTTAAGCAAAAATCTGATTGAATCAAGAGTATTTTTTCTTGTCAATATTTTCNTTATTTTCCGGTTGATAATGAAATTGTTATTATTTTGAAACGTCCCGGGTTTTGTTTATTCCTTTTTCTTTATTTGCAGCCTTTTCCCCAAATTAAGTTGTTCTTTTATTACGTGTTTTTTGGCTGATTAAGTTGTTTCTCATTCATTTTCTAAATTTCGTAGCAACCCTGGTTTGATTCAAGTATAGGGATAGGCAAAAGAAACGTTCGATACGCGTGTTATAAGCTGGGAATTCCCATTTGCAAATATTGGTATTTTGGGAGAGCACTCTTCTCCTGGGGTTTGGGGGACGTGATTTCTCCTTCCCTAAGAAAAAATTTTCCCCTCTTGATGCTGGAACAGAAGTCCAAACCGGATGATATTAACATAAAAATTGGAAAAGTCACGGCTTATCGAGCTTTTCTCTCGCCCATCCTGGTATAGTGTTTTATAAAAGGCTTGGAGGACAATTAAGGCGCACAAGTGCAGTTTTTGAAAAACTCGAGTTTTTAATGTTTTCAAGTAAAACTAGCCTTAATGTACATTCTGTAAAAAATTAATTCTGTCAAAAAGTCAGTTTGAACTTTCTTTCCGCCACAAGGATCCATGTAATTTTGAAACTTGAAACACGTATTTCTCGAAGTAGCAAAAACTGCACTTATGCGCCTTGTCCTCTAAGCCCCTCAAATCAATTAAACTTTTTGTATCACAGAAAGAGTGACAAATGATCCTTGTAATCAAGTGTTCATTGTTGAGACTTTGTTGAATGAGCAACTAGCCAAGTTTTTTTGAATATTCTTCCTGGGAAATAATCTGAATTTTCCTCAGCAAAACTTGGCTTCATGAAAAATTTCATCCCGGATGAAACAACCAAGTTTGCTGCCATTTTTTCCTTTTTTTCAAAGATTTGCATTTATCGTTACCTTCCAGAATGGCAATATAAACAATTATCTATGCTACAGCTATGAATAACAGTGTAATAATGTCTCAACAAGATGAAGACGTAATTTTAAGGGTTTTTTTTATTATTTATTCATCCTTAATTTCAATTTTCATTTTATAGACTGGCTCTGGAAAGACGTATACAATGGGCACAGGGTTCGACCTGGACATCAACGAAGACCAGATCGGAATCATACCTCGAGCCATCGATCACCTCTTCCGCGGGATTGCTCAAATCACAGAAGAAGCAATAAATGCGGGCGATCCTCCACCCAGGTTCACAGTTGTCGCTCAGTTCCTTGAACTTTACAACGAGGAAGTCATCGATCTATTCGACAACACCCGAGATTATGCCCTTAGTAAGGTAAGTCCGTCCTCCACCAATCGAATTCAGTTGTACAGTAGATCCCCGATATTCGCGAGTTCGGTATCCGCGAATTCGTTTATCCGCGATTGGGTCAACGAGCTCATCGATCTATTCGACAACACCCGAGATTATGCCCTTAGTAAGGTAAGTCCGTCCTCCACCAATCGAAGTGAATTGTATAGTAGATACCCAGTATTCGCGATTTCGGTATACGCGAATTCGCTTATCCGCGATTGGGTCACGAGGAGGTCATCAATCTATTTGAGAACACCCGAAATTATGCCCTTAGTAAGGTAAGTCCGTCCTCCACCAATCGAATTTAATTGTATAGTAGATCCCCGGTATTCGCAAGTTCAGTATCCGCGAATTTGCTTATCCTCGAGTTTTGTATCCGCGAATTCGCTCATCCACGATTGGCTTTTAGCGGCATGACCCCAGTATCTGCGAACTCGTGGCTCGCTTATCCGCGAATTCGGTATCCGCGAGGTTTTCGCGGAACGTATCCCTCGCGGATACTGGAGATCTGCTGTATACAATATTGATGTATATCAATAGGTTGGAGTATTACCACTTTCTCCAGGTATAATTTAACAATCATTGAAGAGATGAGGTCCTAGAGTTGGTTTCAGCCACTCTTGGCACTGAAAAAAATTGTCTCTCTACAGCATCACCTAGTGCAAAAACAGCTCCAAGCTGTTAGCACTGCCCATTTAAGACTTGTGTCTTAGACTTCCCGTCGGACTTAATTTTTTAGTCGGGAAAGCAATCAATGTACTTCAACAAAAACTTCTATGATTTTCCCACTCTGTTTGATAAATATTCCTTGAAAATATCCAGTATCAAAAGCTTATCTCTCTTTAAAAAAAATGAAAACATGGAAATTTTGGAGCCTCCCAATCTCATGAAGTGGTTTCTAAATTTAACTATCAATATACTGGTGTTTTATCCAGCATCAAAGTCGCTGGTTCAATAATGGCAAAGAGGAAAATTGAATCATCATATATATAATGATTTTCTTTTTCCCAAACTGAAATCATTGTGTTAAGAATATTTTTTGGTCAAACGTCAAGCTGTTCTTTCGTGAGGAGTCCAAAAGTTGATCATTTCATAACTCTAATATTTAATTTTGCATTTCTGTTTCAGTGTAAAAGTGGCATCCGCATCCATGAAGATTCGAAACATTCTATCTACGTCACCGGCGTTACGTCCAAAGTAATTCACTCAGCCGAAGATGCTCTGCAGTGTCTCAAGCAAGGTGCCTTGTCCCGAACAACAGCTAGCACTCAAATGAACTCTCAATCCTCTCGGAGTCATGCTATTTTCACCCTCCATATCGAACAAAAACGGCTGGTTAAAATAGAGGCAAGTTTGAGTGAACAGAATTTTTCTTGTAAACGTTAATTCTTAACTTTCGGGATCAGATACCAAAACTTGGAGAAAGAACTCTGGAAAACAGTTACAAATGAGCTGCAATTGATAATGTCTCCGCAAGAAATTGAAGTGGAAGCTTACACTTAATTTTACCCAACATGAAAAGACCTTGAATAGATTGAAATTAAATCTTGGGGAGATTCACCTTGAGCAAAGAATCTCAAATATAATAACTCAATAAATATAAATTTTCAAAGAAAAATATTCACTTTTTTTATGCTATATTTGTGAAATTAATGCCAAAAACCGTCCATTTCTAGTTGTATGTATTCAAATAGTCAATTTGAAAAGTCGGAAAATTTTGATAATTTTCGTCTGGGGAAACCTGGAAAAGTCAGGAAATTTTTTATTGCGTTTCAAGACACCTTGTGTACATGAACTTCGTTTCTACTCGTTGAGTTTAATTTTATTTTCGAGAGAGATGAAAAAAGATATTATAATTATTGTTGAAAATTAAACTTTTAGTCAAATATAAATCATCTTCAGCCTTCTTTGTCTGAGCTATGATTTTTGACCATACCTTAATTTATTCTTTGCTTTTTTTTTAGGATGAAGAGGCGGATTCTAATTCAGAGTCAATGACCAGCAGCGTAACAAGTACAGGGAACAGAGAGTTCGAAACTTTAAGTGCCAAATTCCATTTCGTGGATCTAGCAGGTTCCGAGCGACTGAAAAGAACTGGTGCTACAGGAGAGCGAGCAAAAGAAGGCATATCAATCAATTGTGGTCTCCTCGCTCTAGGAAACGTCATATCTGCTTTAGGTGATAAATCGAAACGGGCACTTCATGTCCCGTATCGAGACTCGAAACTCACAAGACTGCTTCAAGACTCACTAGGTGGGAATAGCCAAACTGTAATGATAGCTTGCGTTTCTCCAAGTGATAGAGACTTCATGGAAACATTGAACACTTTAAAATACGCCAACCGTGCTAGGAACATTCAAAATAAGGTCATGATAAACCAAGATAAGTCCTCGAGAACCATCCAGCTGCTGCGTCAGGAGATTCAGCAATTACAATTAGAACTTTTAGAATACAAACAAGGCAAAAGAGTCGTTAGCGAAGATGGCACGGAAGCTATCAATGACATGTTCCATGAAAATACAATGCTTCAAACAGAGTTGAATAATTTGAGGACACGAGTGAAAGCAATGCAGGAGACAATCGATACTCTTAGTGCGAAAAACTCGGAGTTACTAGCAGGGAAAGCCATGGGTAAGTGGCTGAACTCTGGTGCTGGAGGCAGCGACTCGGAGATGACTGGTATGATTCAAGGATACTTGAAGGAGATTGAGGAGTTACGTGCCAAACTTTTAGAATCTGAATTCCTTTGCGCTCAATTACGGAAAAACTTCAGTCGATCTCCCGCGCCGAAAAGCTTTCACAATCCACTTTCACATTCAAATAGTTTTATTTTGAATCCTGTCAATGATACTTCATCCGTAGGCAATCTAATTGCTGAAGCTAAGAAAGGCCTTCAAAAGGATCTGGAAGCTCTCGCTCGTAGCCGCTGTGATAGTGACAATAGCTCAACAAAAAAATACGAAGTAGGAGAAGAAAGTGAGAATTCTGAGGAGAACGAAGAGGCCACAGAGTCGGACGATGACTCGGGTGATAAACAGAGTAACGATGGCAGTGAGTTTAGTCAAGAATTAGCCGATTTAACAACGGACATCAACTTAAAACAGAAGTTAATAGAAGAACTAGAAAAATCCCAAAAGAGGCTGCAAAGTCTGAAACAGCATTATGAAGAAAAGTTAATGGCTCTTCAAGCGAAGATAAAAGCAACGCAAGATGAAAGAGACAAAGTCCTGGCCTCGTTTAGCAACCAAAACAACAATCAGCCAAGTGAAAAGGTCCGTAAAGTCCGTGATGAATACGAAAGTAAACTAAACAACATGCAGAGAGAATTACGAACCCTGCAATCTGCCAAAAAAGAACACGCCAAACTTCTTAGGAGCCAATCACAGTATGAAAATCAAATTAAAACCCTCAGGTTAGAAGTTGCGGATATGAAGAGGAACAAAGTGAAACTAATCAACAAAATGAAAGAAGAAAACACAAGGCATAAGGATATGGAAATGCGACGGAATAGGGAAATTGCTCAGTTGAGGAAAGAATCCAGGAAAGCGGAGAACATGATCCGATCGTTGGAAGCTGAAAAACGAGTCAAAGATGTCGTGTTGAAACGGAAGCAGGAAGAAGTCACCGCCCTGCGAAAGCAAGCCCGAGGAGGTCTCAGCACCAAAGCAGCTGGTAGGATTTTAACCTCTAAAATTGTTAACGGCAACACAACAACGGTCTCGCCCAAAATCGCAAAACATAAGTGGCAGTCGCTTGAAAAGAACATCACCACAAATACTCTGAACAAACAATCAGTCGTCGCTCTAGAGAGGGATATGGAAAGGCTAATGGCGGAACGGAAAGAGTTGCATCAGGATAAAGAATCAAAAATTAAACAACTTAACGAAGTGAAAAGGCAGAACCCCCGTGATCCAAGCATTCCCGATATCGAAGAAGAAATCGAAACTCTGCAATTGAACTTAGACTACATTCACGATAGTATTAAAGAAGTCCAGCGCAACATCATCGAAGTCGAAGACTCTAAAGTCGTGCTGGACAGCACCGACTTGGTTTCTGGTATCCAGGATCTGAGCGAAGCCTCTTACTTAATAGAAAAATTGTATAATTCAACGTTGCATCACTCATGTTTAGCAGCGCAAAAGGAAGCAGCCGTAAAAGAACTGGAAGCTCGCTTGAAAGAAATCGAAAAGGATAATGAACTGCAGCAACAGCTACTTAAACACATGTTGGACAGGGATGATGCTGTGATGGTAGCGAGTGTTACTAGCAATGGTAGTCATCAACCGGGTCTACGAGATAGCTGTAATAGTTCAGCCGCGTCCTCTAGGTCTCCTTCTCCAACTCAAGATAAGTGAGTATAACTCTGAATAGAACTCTCGTTAAGTAGCACTAGTTTATTATACCTCATTGCCAAAAAAAATGGTGTATGAACTTTAGATGATGCCAAATTTCTTCTGTCACTTCTCACTCACTTAAAAGAAGGATTAGTAAGCCTTAAACATGAGGGAATGAGAAGAAAAGAAATGGCTCTCTTTGCCCCGGATTTGACTTTGGTGAAATTCTTTTGTTTTTTAATGCATCAGTTTCAAGAATAACATCCGGCAAAATCTTCTGAATGTATCAAGTATCAAAATAAAACTCTTAATGTGCCAATTCCAAGAAAAAAGAGATGACACGGGAAAAAAAGTTGCTGAAGTAACATCTTGGATGTTAAAAATCTGCGTGACACCTCTTGAATGTTACTATGGATACTCCAGCTGTTGAAGTAACATCCTAGCTGTGTTGAATCAAGAACCGTAGCGTCAAGATTAACATTCAAGAGCTGTAGCGCAGATTTATAACAACCAGGATGTTACTTCAGCAACTTTTGTGCAGTGGAGTTTCAAGCTTAAGGTGATTCGATGGACGCCATATTTTGTGTCAGAAGACATGCGATGTATCGCATCAATCGGTTCCATTTTTTCAGCTATTCGTCATTTTTCTCGAATTTCGATATCGCAATTCTGTTGTCAGGAGACTAAAGAATTCACCTACCAAATTTGACAAACAAATTCAATGTAATAAATACGTGGTTTTTTTTAGAGGAAAAATATCGCTTTCGATGCTGACATTGAAACTGCACTCGAATGCGATATTTTTCCTCTGAATAAACCACGCGTTTATTACGTTGTATTTATTTGTTAAAATTGGTAAGTGAATTCTTTAGTCTCCTGACAACAGAATTGCAATCTCAAAATTCGAGGAAAATGGCAAGTAGCTGAAAAAATGGAATCAATTAATGCAATACATTGCATGCCGTCTGACACAAAATATAGTGTCCATCAAATCACCTTAACTGAAAAGCAAAATATTGGCTGTTTTCTACACTTTTTTTTAACACCCATTACACCTAGGGAAGATTTCTTTTATCCTTCTGTTATGAGAATCATTGAGTAAATGTCTAAAGTAAACAATATGCTCTTTTTTAGTGGTAATTTGAAGCCTCTAAGTGTTACTGCTCCTACTAGTCCTGCATCTGGAAAGCACCGACGGCGCTCCGCTTACCAGGAAGATTTATTGTTTGGCAAACAACCTCCCCCTGTAGAGCTCTTGGGTGATGCAGACAACGGTCTCTCCGGCCCTGATATATTGATGGCGCCGCCTCATAAAGCGAGCATCATGCGAGTTCCTTCTGTCCCAGCCGCCAACAAGTAAGATCGATCAACTACTTTCTATGTGCTTCCAAATTCTAATTCATGTGTTTATATGTGTGCCATTTGCAAAAGTTATCGCACCAATTAGATTTTTTTGTTTTTTCGTTTTACCTTTTTTCTTTTTTTTTACATTTTTCATTTCTTTAATGATATAATCTCTTCGAAACTTTCACGACCCCCTTTTTTTTATTTTTCCACTATCTTTTAAAAATATTTAAAGGATTTTATCACGATCATCTGGAAAAAAAATTATTCAATTATTTATCAAAAAAATAAAATGAAATAATGAGGATTTAGATGAAGTACATCAGAACAATTATGAGCACTATGAATATAAGATCCAGTAGTATTTGTATGATGATGGTGTCAGAATAGATTGTGTTTCACCTAAAATGTCACTTAATCAACCCACAAAGGCTTTTGCCGTGTGTCTTACAAAATATGTGACTCCCTGAACAACTCAACTACATATTTGTAATAAGTATGTACAACTATTTGTAATAATAAAGAGAAGATTGAGCAGCAGTAATTTTTGTACCTCCAACATAAAATTATCAAGACAGTATATTAGCGACTATGCTTTGAGTGCATGTATTACATGTTTTTTTTTTTGGGGGGGGGTGCATGATTCTCTTTAAAGTTATCTAATGTGTTTTCTATGTGTCCATCTTTTCAACTCAGTATGAATATTTGGTGGTTTATGACTTCATCAGGGTTTCCGAATGACCTTAGTCGGGAAATTTTTTTTAATTAATTGGCACCAAATTTTTTGGTTTCATGTTCAAGAATTTTTAGAACTTCGGCACTTCAGACCTTTATGACCTTTGGGTGGGTTTAGACATCAGTACACCAAGCTTGAGATTTTAGGTGCTTTGCTGCACGATGTCAGCCTAGGTTGCCTTTGCGGTGATTCACACAAGACAGAAACAGTCATTTTCATACCTTTTAAATCATCAGCTCAGCTAGCATGGATCAAGCTTAGTGAACCTCAAGTTCAATATTTTCGTCTCTTCTTCATCCATCAGAATTCATCAAGAAATGATTCATATTCGTTAACCTCTCGCGTGCTGCCTGGTGGCATGATCCTCAATAAATATGATCGACAAAGCATTTTAAAATACAATGCAATACTATTAGAAATATAAATGAATGAACCAAAAACACTCTGTGACATCTTGCCAAGGTCTTCTTTTTTCTTTGACTAGGGCTTAAATCCTGCTTTTCACTCATTATTGTATCAGGCATTCATAAAAGGAACAAAATTAATGAACTTTATAAAAATTGATATAAATGTGTGTTTACCCTAACGGACAGACATCATATGTTAAAACATAAGACACATTTATTCATCTTCTGGGAATGAGAGCCCCTGTGCTAGGGTGTCAGTATAAAATAGTTTCTAACTATAAATTTAAACAGGACAAACCAAAATATTTTTGTATCTAGTGACGAGGACAAGCGTGATAAATTAAAATTAAAAGCACCCAAGATATGAGATAAAATGTAAAAACACATCTTATACTCTGAGGTTTAATGTTTTTTTTTTTTTAGAAAATCAAAATTTGATTTAAAATTTTTCATACTTCCTAGGAGACAATAATTCAACAAATGAATACATTTTCAAATCACATAATATAAAATTAAAAGGTCCAATTTTCCATGCATCCCGGAGAAAGGAACTCATCTGTAGTCTGGTACTTTAAAGCTGTGCTGAGCTCCGAACTGGAAATTTTAATGTGTTAAACCATTCTCTGCTCTTATTTAATCTTTGTGTGTTTCAATTAAGCTTTACTGAGAATCTCACTGAGTTGATTAAGTTCATCTTTCTACTGTCATATTACATATCTTTCTTTCATTCTGTATTTCTTTTTTAGAAATTTGTATACTAAACCAGACCTGCTAAAGCCCTCGCCAGTGCTGAGTCGGAGAAATTTCGAACCACCCAGTTCGCCGCGGTTAAGACGTAATACTTTCGTTATTAACAGTTCAACAAATCTGCTTGGCAAATCTGGCTCTATGTGAGTGTCCGTATTACTAACCATGCCTTATTGCATCCTGTTTATCTGTCTCCTGTCGGTAGTTATATCAATTTGCATGCTTTTGAAACTAACTTCTGAGTAAAGTAGAGATAGGACCTGACATTCATTTTCTTAGAAGGATATTATATGATTCTTTTCAGCTCTTTTGTCGATCAAATGGTTGATGTGCCTGATAAAAAGTATGTTTACTGTAGTTTTTTATTCCCCTGGTTTGCAGCAACATTCCTTACTGTCTCCCAATGTGCTTCTTTTTTCCCTTTACTTGCATTTGATGCATACATATGGGGACATTTAGCGTTTGGATGCAGAAAATTACATTGTTTGACCTTCAGCGCTTCCATTTTTTTTTTTTAATTTCCTCATTCATTCTACGTTAAAAACGAAAAATCTTAGATTGGACCCCAAGTTCTGTATTTTTTTCTGCAAAGAATGTAGAGATTTGTGCTCACGGCTGTATCTTCATTCCTTTTGCATATGTTTTCTCTTACAGAATATATTTTGTTCAGAGTTTAGTGGGTTTTTTTTTTTATCCATGAACGTTCTAAATTAAGTATGTTTTTTTTTGTTTACTAAGCTTTGTGTTTATCTATGATCTGTAGAAATAGTTTCTCTGGCCAGAACCATTCTCTCAATAAATTTTTCGCAGGTTTTGAGTGGTAATAAATGTCCCTTCCCCCCTATTTTTCAATTGGAACCCATTATCTCTGCAGAAATAGCAGCCAAGGTAACAGCAGAGATTGCATTAAGTCATGAAAACATCACAAAAAGCCCCTTCTTCTTTTACATTCTTGATTTTTTAAAATTTTTTTTTATTTTTATTTTTTTTTGTGTGTCTCATTAGCTTACCCCTCCCAAATTTTGGCATGATCATATTTTCAAAATTGCATCAGCCAATTGTGAAATTCGGAAGTTTTACATATTATTCCAGGAGATTAAAGCGTGCTCCATGGTTCGCTAACTGTGCAAGGAGATTTCATAATTGTGGTATTTTTAATTTCCAATGAGAAAAAGCAACCATTCTTTAAAAAATCCAACCCCAAGATGTACTCTCTCTTGGATCATGCGCCCAGGATCTATGGATATAATGTAAAGAAAACACTCATTTCCAGTCTGAATGGGATTCCCTCTTCATCTTTCTTTCCATTTGTGCATGTGATAATTATTTTTTTGGTTTTTTGTTCGTAGTGTGACGAAAACTATTTAAGACGTCATGCCTCTGTTCTTGTCTAGACTGTCTTTTGAATTTTATTTTTCTGTACCATACGTATATTCTCTCTTGTAGTTAGATGTTAGAAACTTTTCCCCAAACCGTATTTAAGTATTCATATTTATCTGAAGTTCATCCCATAGTTTCATTCCTCCTTTGCAGGAAAATCATGCTTCCCATGTGTTTCATGTGAGTCAGGGTCATTTCTCATTTATAATTGCGGTATTAAATTTCACCCTCTAACATGATTGCAGCAGTATTGCTCTAAAAATTGTGAAATCAACAATTAAAAAGTAGAGAGACCCATTTCCTCTCAGCAGAACCTTCCCCTGTTTTGCTTGTGTGTAGATATTTTTAAATGAGAGCCTTAATTGTTTTGTAAATATGTATCTAAAAGCACCATTTGTATATGCTGTATAATGATGTTGTTCTAAAACTAGTCTAAAATTACCATTAATCCCCTTAACTTTTAAAATTCTTTTATCTCTAAGTCATATTCCAAGCTCAAGTAATTAATCAAAGCACTGTTTTGCATCGAGTGCGTTGATTTTCAGTCTCAAACTTGCCATATTCCTGCTAGGCACTTTTATGATGGAGTCAGGCAAAGTGGGCTTCAAGTTGAAAATTTAAATTGGTCGGGGAAGCGAAAAAACTACCTTTGAAATGCTTCAAAGGAGTCAATATTTGGAATTTTAAGGGTTTTTTACACCACATGATTGAGAATCAACCCCATAAAGCTGTGTTCCAGTCAACTAATTCTAAATTTTTCTCCTAATGGCTCATTTTGCCCGACTTTTTTACATTTTTTCTCATCATTCTCAGCATTCATAATTTACTGAGAGGACATAAGAATGCAGATATGAACTGTAAGTTTGTCCCTGAAATAGAAAACCGTAATTGCAAACCCTTCAGTGAGTCATAATTACCTCAGCTCTGACATGATTACATGCACCGAACTGTTCATTCACTGGCTTTTTAATAATCCGTCCGTTTCCTGCTAGTGCAATAAACGGAAGCATCAAATCACTTAACTTGAGATTTAGATTTGTCCTGTAATGCTTACTGTAATGTCTCCATCCCACTAACTGTAACACTAATTAACTAACAGGGATCAGGGTCTGGACAAGAGCCCTCCTAATTCACCCCCGACTTACCGGAGATTGACAAGCAGAGAGGAGAACGTCTTCTCGCGTCTTACGTCCGGAACCACCGTGTCGAACGACCAGCATAGAGGCAAGGGCGTCATCCAAGTCTACCAAGGGAGGGTAAGTAACTCACAATTCTCGCTCATTTTGCCTAAGGTATCTTTCTTCTCTGAAGTTTGATGGAATGTCAGGCTGTAAAAAATTATTCATGCTTACATACAAGGGTCGTCCAGAAAGTATGTTTACCCGTTCAATATCTTCTGAACTAAGATGGGTAGAGAAAATCTGTAAAAATCATTAAAAAGTCACTACTCTAGGCTCTCTAACGTGCTATAGATTTTTAAATTTGGCATAATAGAACTCCAGAAAAAAGGCTTTTTCTGAAACCACCTCCTCTCTACACAGGTTCAAAATTTTACGGAGCTTCATTCGCAAGTGAGCCCCTGTGTCTATTGCTCATGGCCAAAAAGTGGCTTAGAGGTGGTTGAAACACATGTAATACGTAAGTATGGACATTTTTCAACACAAATTTCAGGATCAGCCGTGTTTACTTCAAAATCAGTTGCATCCGAGCAAAAGTTTACAAAATCGTGAACGTTAATTCTCACCAGCTAACTGAATCCTTCATAAGAATTCAAGTTAGCCTGCCCGTTCTTGAAGAAATTTTGTCAAAGATGCATTTTTTGGAAAAATATGCAGCCTTTACAACTCTTTTACCATAAATGAACCTGAATTTGAGCAGCTAGGGTCACCTTTTTTGGCAAGAGAACGAATAATAGAGCCCAATTCAGACACTGAAACCAAATTCAGCGTTACAACTCCATAAGTTGACTAAATTTAGCTTAACATTTCCATGTACTGCAGTCCGAACCCACCAATAATACAAATAAACACGGTCAATCCTGCTATTTCCTTGTTGGAAAATGTCATTATTTTTGTGTTTCATGTGTTTCAACCACCTATAAGCCACTTTTTGGCCATGAGCGACACAGGGGCTCACTTGCGAAGGAAGCTTCGTAAAATTTTGGACCTGTGCGGAGAGGAGGTGGGTTCAGAAAAACCCTTTTTCCTAGAATTCTATCAAGCCAAATTTAAAAATCTATAGCGCGTTAGAGAGCCTAGAGTAGTGGCTTTTTAATACTTTTTACAGATTTTCTCTACCTATCTTAGTTCAGGAGATATTGAACAGGTAAACTTACTATCTGGACGACCCTCATACATAAGAGTCGCTCCAACAAAGCACTCCAGCGTTCTGCAACACCCTAATGCCACATGTGCCACAAACAGAGGTACGTGGTTTTGCACTTGGGCAATCGATTTACAAATGATGTAACATTTTGTCATTCAAATGTCTGAAAATTATCGCTTTCAATATTGAGTGCCCTAACAAAAATTTTTCGTCATTCTTTTCACTTAATACCAATTCAAGATTCAAAAGATAAAATAGCTCATTTATCTCTTTGCCTCTAAAAACTATATTTATGTGTTGTTGAAATTGAAATGTTTTGTGTTTCTCAGTTGTAAGATTAAAGGCACTGTTTTCGCTCATCATCGGCAGTCTCTGAAACCGAAAATTTTTTACAAAGTCTCCCCTTAAATTCTTGTCAAAATCCTAATAATTTTAATTTTAATTTGCAGGCAAGCGTTAGGTCACCTTTAATATGTACGCATGTAGCTACGGGCCATGCTCGAGCCGTGCTTGCGCTAGATGCTTCAGAGGACTTACTATTTAGTGCTTCCCGAGGTAGAGTATTCATTTCTCTTTTATCTCATAAACACTATTGAAATCAAAATGAATAAAAGACTTGAAAAGAAAAAAAAGATGTTTTGCCCGTTTCAATTCTCAAAGTCTCTGATTTAATGAGGTCAAGTGATGAAATAACTATCCACGAAATACCAAGAGATTTGGCGCCAGCTAAAAATCCGTATTATTTTATTTCACATTTTAATGACCGCTTGAGCAAGATGAGTGTTTGGAATGGAAGTTTGTGAGTGTCAATGGTGACAAAAGTGGGACTGAAAAGTAAATTTTCCAACCCTCACACAGTTGTTTTATAATGTATTTGTGGATGCTGTGCAGCAATGTTGCTGCTGTCATTCCTACCATCATGTATTTAATGTGCAAAAAACCGCAATTTCCACGGTCACGGCCTTGGAGAGGCCTTGAAAAAGACAGTACAAGTAGTAGATAAAAACACTTTTAATGGTCTCAAAAAATTTTGAATCGCAACATTTGGAAAATGTATATAAATTCTAGATACTAATCGTTCGGCAACCCTCACACCCCTTACTTTATTTTTAACGTCTGTCCAAGCTTAAAAATTATGGACTTGGTTAACAACAATTTTTTAAATGAATTTAGTGAAATAGGATAAAAGGGTTTTCCTATGATTCTGATCGCTCTATTTTTTTGTTTTGTTTACTTTAGCTTGATTTTTAATCGGATTTTACATTTTTCTTCCAGATAAAACCGTCAAAGTTTGGGATCTGCACGAGGGCAAAGAAGTGCAGTGCCTATACGGACGGGATATAGTCGTGGCTGTGAAATATAATGAGGCAACTCAAACAATTCTGAGCGCTTCCTCTGCTCAAGTGAGAATTTGGGATTTGCGGAGTCCTTCGTGTATCAAAACGCTGTGGTAATTACATTCTTCTCCTCTGGATTTTACTCAAATTCCGTACAATTTGTGCTTTTTTAAGGTTTTTATCGCCAAATCTTCTTTCACTCCCAAGTATATTTGAATGCAATTTATGTATTATCTGTTTTCAAAATTTCCTCCGAAACTATCCACAGCTTTATAATGCTGGTGAAAATTAAAAACATGTATTTTGATCATGATGTCTCAAACTGTCTCAAAAACTAGTATTCCTGTCTGAAATTTATCTATATATTCTGTGTAAGGTGGAGAAAAATCAGTAGAATTTTGGAGACAATGCCAATCAGTTTTCCTTTTAAATATAATATTTTGGGAAAATTGCAACGCTACAGTCTGAGATTTCTGTCTGTGAGCAACCGAGCATTCAACAGGGGTCAGTAAATTCTCAATGCGCGTTTTTATTTCTGTAGCCTCAGGAGAAAGAAAAGTTTAATAAAAGCATTTTCTTGTGTGTATTATTAGTATTTTTTCAATAGGAAATAGGATTGAATTTTCAAAATGTTATACTTGTTGAACTATTGACTCACATTGAAGCGCCTCATCGCAATATGTGAATAGCAAAAATTGAAAAAAAAAAAAACAAAAAAAAAAACAACAACAACAACAACAACAACATTATCAGGTTGAAAACTTTTGGCAAGAGTGCAGTATACTGATAATGAATTCTCAAATGAAGATAATTTTTTAAGCTCAACCGGTTTATCATGTGCAGATGAGTCCAATGAAGAGTGTCTAAAATCTGTGACAAACAAATCCCTGGAACTCTTCCTTTAAGATTTTCAATTTTACCAATGATTTTTTAATTGTAATGCTCTCGTTATCTAACATAGAATCTTTTCTTCAGGTCATCGGGGCTTGTAAGTAATGGCCACATGAACACAGCACAAATGCCCACCGGAGAAACGCAAGTGAACGATATCGCTATTAACAGCTCCGGTAAAATCCTATACACCGCCGCAGGAGATAAGGTCAAAATGTGGGATATGCGAAGGTAAGTTTTTTACTCTGAATCATTTGTGACGTAATTTCAAAATGGATCAATCAGAATTGTATCATTTGTCAGGCTCTCAAGCTATCCTGGAATACTCTTTTAAGAGATGGCAGGCTCCTCTGAGAGTCTCTGGAATACTCTAGGTATGGAATTTTCTTCCTAATTGTTCACCCTTTAAGATTCAAAGACTTCCTCATGTCTTCAAATCGTGCCAAGTAGGGGATAATGAGGTGGACTGTTGTTATATCCGCCAAAAGTTGATAATTTCTTGGGTACCTTGTCTGTTTATTGATATGGTTCTTGAGAATTTGGAGAGTTGATCTCTGATTTGATAGTCAGTCGAACAATTGATAATTTCTGGATCTTCGGACATTCATTAAAAATTACTGAGCTTCACATCACAAATGTAAATCAGGCATTTGTGCATAAAATTTAACCAAGAAACGCTTTGAAATAACTCCAAAAGTACTGTCCAAGTGAATATAGCCAGTTGTTTTGTCTCCTGATTTGCGATATTCGCCTGGAACATACTTTTAGAGCTACATATTTTCAAATACTTCCTCGTAAAATTTTGGAATTTGCAAGCTGCTTTGATGATTGCAGGTCATCAAAATAGTAGCATCTGTCTAAACACCAAAGTCTACATGTCTTATATTAACAGAGATAATACCCTTCAAAAAACATAGTGCATGATGTCCTCCACCGCAGTGGTGCATACCATGATCTCTTTCACCTTGGTGTCATCCATTTTTTAAGTCAAACAACCAAAGATACAATGTGTATATAACCAATTGATTAATCTGAAGTGGGAGAAGCGATGGTATGTGCACTACTATGGTAGATGATGCCATGCATGGTGTTTGTTAAAGAGTCATATTAACACTAATATTGGGCATGGAAACTAGGCGTTTATACAAATTTATTGTTTTTTTATGATCTGTAAGCTCAAAATATCAAAACAAGATTATGTGATTACTACATCTGACCCATTTCAGGTTAAACAAATTGTCAAAGTCTCTCCCCAAAATATTGGTAATTACCCTTCGGATCTTTTTTACCTAGGTATGCTACAATAGGCAAATTAGTTGGCGGGCATACAGCGGCTGTGATGTGTTTGGCTGTGGATGAATTTACCCCCGGTGAGGACAGAGTGGTCACCGGCTCAAAGGATCATTATGTTAAGGTATGCTTTAATCGGCCATCGATAGATCTAAGACCCTAAATTTGTTTATCTTTTCTACCCCTCTGACCCTGAAAATTCAAAAGCTCCCTCGGAGTGGATCCTGAAATATCCACTCCAAATTTGTCTTCTCCTAATTTCATCATTATTTTCAGTCACTTGGAGCATGATCTCCGGACTATTTCTGTAGCCAAGCACCAAAAATGGCAACTTCATTTTCACGGATTTCAGTTATTTTTCGCTCTATTGTTTGTGATGTAATTTCCAATTTTTAGAACTCTGTATCTTCTTTCCAAGTGTTTGAAATAACTACGCACTAACTTCTTTGTGCACATCATTGCCTACATCAAAAGAGATCCTATTGCCAAAATTATTGAAATTAAGATATAAGTACTACCAGCAAGGAAAGTATTTTACAAATAATGTAGCATGGAAAACATCAGAGAATGTCAAACCAAACTGAAGTTATGAAAGTTTGAAATTTTCAGTTCAAACATGAAAATGAAGCAACCCTAACTATCGATTTTTCATGTTTGAAGCTCTAAATTTCCAGTTGTAATACCTTTTTGCCCCACACTGGTTTCAGAATAAGCCAAGTAGCAGGCAACCTTTTCTGTAAGATTCTGAGAAATGTTTTCAGTCAAAAATTTAAATTTTGATTTTTTGACTCATCATGACATTTTTCCCAAAAGATTTGACGACTTTGGAAACCGAGATCTCTTTTTTTGGTCGGTCATATGGGAACCCCTAAGCAGCATGTTCAAAATGTGACATTTCAGGTTGTTACCTAATTGTTGGTCACACATCTTTAGCTCTTGACCGCAGCTCTAAGAACTGCAATGTTCATGAATTATATCGTTGCTACTAGTTATTTGTGATAATTTCAGGTTTTTGAAGTAGCCCATCAAACAGGAGGCAGTTGTGCTCCCCGTATCAATTTTGAACCTCCCCATTATGATGGAGTCCAGTCTCTAGTCGTCAGGGATAACATATGCTTCTCTGGATCTCGTGATTCCTGTATCAAGAAATGGGACATCGATCAAGAAGTCCAAATACACGTGAGTGTCACTTGTATTATTTTCATAAGCGAAGCGATATTTCATCCAACGCTTTGGTGTTCCTTTCATTAAATAAAATGAAGTTTTTCATCAAAACTTGAGTTTAATCAAAAAATAATTACAAGTTTCCTTCAAAATTTGACTTTGTAAAATCAGAGAGATGTAATGCTAGTGTTGTCAGAGAGATGTAATGCTAGTGTTGATTTTAAAGGACTCACGGGCATTAAGGGACTTTTATTCTCAAAAATTCTCTCAAAAGCAATTTTTCCGCTCAATCTCGCACGCTATGGGCTCAGAGGATTGGGTGGATCAAAGAAAGAACTTACCTCTCTTCCCTAATGATGTTTTCAACGTATTTTCTGTTATTAGTCTGTGAGGAATGCCCACAAAGACTGGGTCTGCGGACTGGCATATGTTCCTAATCAACCACTGCTGATGTCCGTCTGTCGAAGTGGTTCCTTGAAACTGTGGTCCTCCGATACCTGTTCTCTCCTAGGTGAAATGAAAGCACACGAATCGTCAATCAACGCAATAGCCACAAATAGCTCCCTAGTATTCACAGCTGCCAAGTAAGTATCCGCTTTAAATTTTTAATTTGAGTTCTTGCAGTTTCAGTTTTTTTAAATTTTCCTCCAAATATTCTTAGCTATTAACTTGAAATTTTTAGCTATCCTTAGCTAATGCATATGCACTCTTGGGGTGGTTTGTTTCTTGTCTTTCCTCTAACGTAACATATATTGCATTCTTATTTTATCCATATTGGCATTATTTTCCTTCTATCTTTTCTTAGCAGTTATACGGGTTTTTTTTAACAAGTACTTATGCCTCAAGACTATCGAAATTTTTCGCAGAACATAGAAAAGGCAGTTGAACCACAACTCATCAACCTCCTTGTTGGTATTATGGCCTTAAATCTTCCCTGTTTTTTTCATAGCGTACGTCTCAAGAACAAAATTTTTAGTAGTTTCAGTCAGTAGAAACATATCTATCATAGGACATCATATTCTGTAACCCTCTATGTTGATTTCATAAGTAAGTGAGTAAGTGTTGTTTCGGTAAGTGAAATCCGAATATGAGAATTTAGCAAAAATTGACTTATTCTGCGGCACATCAACAACTTGGGATGATTTTTGACAGACCTACTTTTCTTTGAGGCAAATAAATTTATAATTTTGGAAATTGTCTATCTCTAACGCAACTCTACAGGAGACTTAAAAAGCGTTTGACAGCATATAATTTGAAGAACATTTTACTTTACACATAAAATTATTAATAAACAACTGTAGGTCTGGGTAAATGTGCTGCTTGAACATTTAGATGTTGCTGAATTCTTTCAATCATGTAAAAATTTTCTGGAAAACCCTTCAATACTTGGCTTTGAATTTTACCGGAACTTTCATTCTGAAGTGAGGCGCTGGGTACAAGAAGGGCATTTCTCAGTATCAGTGTTTCAGAATATTTTAAATGAAGGTACTAAGTCAACAAGGGTTTTTTTTTTTTCAAGGAAGATATTAAAAATGTCTGCTATTTTGTATCAAAGAGCGTTTCCGATAGCATGGTTTGTAAATTGTGTTTCAGTGGTGGGGAAGTGAAACTTTGGCGGCTACCTGAGTCGTCCTCTGTAATGTCAATGTCAACTGGTCGGCTCTTCGATCTCAATCTTTAGTTGCTCCTCCTCTTTTTCGGTTATCTCTTCGTTGTTTTATCGTATTTATGTATCTGACTACCGTCAAAATTGTGCTCGCAATCGAGCTTCAAGAAAACTTTCCTCTCCCAGAATCTAGGGAAGTTTCTGTCATTGATAGTTAGGTCTTTATCCCTTAAATATGGTTGAGGGACTCCTCATCCAATTGTATTTGTCTTTCATAATTTTAATAAAAGTCTTTTTTCCCAAGTTTTCTGTCTCTGGCTTCTTTGCAAAGTAGTCAATAGTTTCCTCTATGATAGTAAGGGCATCGGAACAAACTTCAAAGGCACATGAAGTTAGTTTCTTCTTTTCCTAATCAGTGACACGGAATAAGTTGAATGGTTGGTTTCACAACAATCTGAGGAAAGTGAAAAAAAAAAATCGCAATAGCGTATTTCCTTCGGAAAACACACCAAATTAGCCAAAATTTGAAAATATAATGTTAATCAAGATAATGAGCTCAAAACCTCTTGAAACAAAAATACAAAAAAATAAAAGAGAAAAAAAGCATATATGTTAGAGAAGCTCTTTCTTTTTTCTTATTTTGTGAGCTTAGGAGTTTCTTATTTTAATCGACTCGGGCATTTACATTTTGTTTCACAAGTTTTTTGCACTTTGTCAGTTCGATACCTCAGTTTTTTTCATTTTATTGGTCAATCGGTTAAGGGAACGTTCTTCCTTCAATTCCAAGTGTGTGTAGAGTTTGCCTCACTTTACTTTCAAGGTAATTACTTTCTTGATTTTTCTCTTCCTTGTCTGATGCAATGTGTCTCTCGCCTTTTTGCTGTTTGCTTCTTATTTTCCTTTTTTGTTGAGTGATTTTTTTTCTCGCTTAAATTGCTTTGATCTGTAGCTCTAATAACGCCTTTGACAACTTTTAAGTGGCAAAATTTTTGGATTATGATTTTAGAATCTTGCCTTCAGGTATCACTAAGATCTTATTCAAAATCTTCCAATTGTTCAAAAAGTTTTTTTTTTTTTTTTTTTTTTTTTTTTTTTTTTTTTTTAACAAAACGGCACCTGTTTAGCCTTTGCAATTGGAACTTTCTGAGAGTCAATTTCATTTTGGGACATCCTATTGTGGATACACATGGATCCTCGCTTAATTCTTGAACCTCAATAGTATGCAATGGATAGTGCAAGCTTTGAACATCCATAGGTCCTGCTTCTCATGAGCCCCTATTTATGAGAGCAAGGAAAGAGTGGTGTATAAGATAGCTGAAAATGTATTGCTGTAAAGTGACCTCTAGTCACAATATTATACATTCATCATGAAGAGGTTTTGTCAATTTTACCTTCGATTGAAGTTCAATTTTTTTTTTCTTTGCATGATTAATGTGGTTCTAGAGTGTTACCTCAAACTTCAAGATCTACTTCAGACATGGCCCCCAAACTGCTATAGCTTAAAACTAAATCTTAGGTCGAAAAGTGCTTGCGCTGTCATTTATATCTTCTTTCTCAAGCTGTTTTTCTAGTCTCATGTGCTTTTGCAGATTGTAGATTCTCGATCTATGCTTTAGTATTTAAATTTTCCTTTGTGGTTTGTTTTTTGACATGCTTTGAACTTCAAAATAATATTTCATGGACAACTTCATACTAAAACAAAAGACTTGATGTGTGAATCATGTTTGAGTATTTGTAAGAATCAATTTGCTACGATCAAAATAAATAATTCACCGATTATCCCCACTACACCTTTAAAGTTATGTATCGAAGTTATGTTTCGACATGAATTTAGATAGCTCGGTGATCAGATGGCCTACTTCAAACTCTGAATTAGCTGCTCTGTGATATCTTCTAAGTTCAACATAAACTTTATGGCCCTCTTTGGTTTTAAAACTAATTTAAGACTGACCCAATAAATATTAATAGCTACCATGGTAAAATTCAACGAAAGTTATGCTTTTCATCGTCAACTTCTCTTTACTTGAGTAGGCGCACTTCACGCTTATCTTCGACAATGTATCAATATATTCAATACCCAATCAGCCTCATCTATGCTTCAAAGTCTCTATCTTTCTCTGGAACTTCATCGTAAATTTTCCATCTAATGATGATGTATAATCTATGCTTTATTATGTTCGAGTATCTTAGTCCTCAAACAATGAAATTAAAAAAAAAACCCGTATCTTGACTGGTGTTTCAAAATGTCTGCTCCTACAGTGTTTTTTTTAAGATAATAATACCCAGCCTCTTTCAAGAAATCATCAGCGAATATTTTCGAAATGGCAAAAAGAATGTATACATAATAGTGTACAGTATGTATGATCAAACATCCTTTGAAAACGTGAAATGTGGTGAAAAATCTACTATTTTGCAAACCGAAATAAGTACTTTTGTAGTCCCATCTCTGATTTGCTTTCTCTGATTTATGCATTCAGTATAAATCTCCGAAGCAAAATCGTTTCTAATCGTTTGATGGACGAAAACAACTGAAGAGCAAATCAGACCTGCAGCCTGATTGTTGAAATTTATGTCGGCATGACAAGAATCGAAAATCAATATATTACACAGTGCAGATAGGGCTATGTCTTGTCTTATCGTCCCGACAAAGCCAGTTAAAGTTTCAACAATCCGGCTGCTGAAAGATAACCTTTTCTAAGAAAAAAGATGGACTAAGAATCAAGCTTCTCGACCACCCTATTTCCAGCAGAAATAGGGACGCGAGCCTCATTCTTTGGCGTGCAATCTTTTTAAGTTATTGCATGCCACACTTTGTTTTTACCAGCACCACGTCTATTGAACTGAGTGTCACACCTCTCTTCTTCGTTAACATTGTTAAATCTCAAGTGAATAGTTAAAACCGAGTTTAAAAACCTTGAATAGCATTGAGCATTAACTGTCGCTGTCTTCCTCATAAGCTGTATTGAACACTAGTTTGGAGTTTTCAGCTGTGAATGACTAATTTATATTTCTCATTTTCTTTTTTTTCAGCGACACAACTATTGGTATTTGGCGTCTGAATAACCGTCGAGAAATGCTGAATGATTTAACATGACAGGTCTCCCTTCCAATCGTCATTCTCCTAACGGCCATTATTTTTATTTCCGGGACGTCACCGTTATACCGTTATACATGATCTTACTTTTGCCAAGTTTCAACAATGTATGACTTGTCAAGTGTCTTGTCTCAGTGCAATCGTAATATTCTAACTTATACAACATTTCTGTCACGGACGTCTTACATTTCAACAGGTCATATAAACTTAAAATTCATTTAGTAGACTTATCTCACTTTTTAAACTTGAATGAGAAGGAAGGGCAGTTTCTAGCCTTGCCGTCAACACATAATAGACTAGGTTGATGCAATAGCGGATCAGAATTTCACATACCAACTAAACCATCAAATTACCACATCACAATGCTCAACATTAATTATGGGAAAAAGTGAAAGAAAACATTTTTCCCCTAAAAAATCTAAGTGGTTTTATTTTAAGATCCTTGGTCTTCTCTATATCTTTTATTTTTATTTGAAAGACAATTCATTTTTTCTAGCATGTGTCGCATGATGGAAGGCAAAAAGCTCTACCGTGGGAACTATCCTCCGCCTTCTCTAAAGACTGTTTAAGTATTTAACTCAGGAAACTCACACATTCCTGTAAATTTTATTTTTAGTACTGAAAAATTCATTTTTCATTTAATTCAAAAGCTCGGATGCTTAATTTTATCTTCATGATTGCGGCAAAGATTTTTTTACTGCGTGAGAAGTTGTTGATATTTTTAGTTAATTACTTTGTTCTTGTCATTTGTTATTTTTATTCGTGTTCTTTTCAGATTTTTATTCCTATTAGCCCTGTAAATACCTTAGTTTTTTTTATTAATTTATTGAAAGCTGAGTCCTAAGATTAGGGTGCAGCTCATTGTTTGATGCATTCAAATTTTTAAAAAAAAATCTGCTCCCACCATCTCAAAAATTCATCCTTAAGATAGGTATCTCCTTTTTTCATATTTACGTAAACATGATTCAAAAAATGTGTTTTTTATGGTTTGAATTTTCAAAATACTGCTAAAATTCATTTCATTTTTGGCCAAAGATGTTTAAAAGGCATCGGTGTTTCGTAATCATTGAGTTATCTGCAAAAGCTGCCGGATCAGAAATCTTTTTTAGTACGTGGCAGTAGAACCTTTTACAAAATTTTGATGGATCAAAAAATGAGCAATATTTTGTCATGCTGCGTGCTCTAGTTTTTTTTTTAGAAAAGATGTCCTCCAATGGTGCCAAAAATTTTATTTGTACCAAGCATTGTGTAAACTTTTGAATTCTATTACCTCAAAGTGGACAGATTCAACCCGAATCATCCTTTCTATATGAGACGCTGCTTAGTTTCCTCTCGTGTCTTGTTTTTTAACAGAAATCTATGGAACATTTTACTTCGAAATTTTGTACATTTATTTATAATAATCGATGGAAAATTAACAAAAAGTTCAAAAGCATCATTGTGTTAAGATTTCTGTCAACAAAATAAAACGTGAGAGGAAATTAAGCAACATGTAATGCAGTTAGGCCGAATCCTGTTAAATACTCTCCTTGTCGTAATTATTCCCCTTGGTTTTAAGTTTTGCATGCACAAAACTTCAGAGAAGGCAGATTTATTTCCAAGGAACAAAATTACCCGGGCGAATAATAAAAAACAATATTTCCACTACCCTCAAGGGAAGCTTTGAAAGTAAAAATGCAAAAATAAGCCGCTCCTTCATTCCCAGAAAAGGTCAATTCTCCATTTTCTTAAGTACTTTTAAGTCGTTTCTTCCAGAGACTAGATATGCGACTTATACTTGTATGGACTCACAATCAGAATAATCACCAAGACTCTAATTTAACTTAAACAGTGCAGGTTGATCTCTGTACCTTTAAGGCGCAAACCAAAATGAGGTAGTAAATTTTGGGGAAGGGGGCGATTGCAACTTTTATTTTAGACATACTGACCTTAGAGGAATTTTTTGTGTGTCTTCAAATGTGTCATCAGAAAAAAAAAATGGAGTTGTTAGTCTCGTTTTTCTTTCCTACAACTTGGTTCTCTACAAACAAGAATAATGGAGACATTGTCAAATTTCGTATTGTCATGATCCGACCAACTCGCAAAGGAGAAACTCTCACTATATTTTCATAATAGACGTTGTTTTTGATGCGAGAAAAATTTGTTAAAAACAATTGTAGGTGGTTGTCATAAATTCTTCATTCAAACTGCCATATCCAGGCCAATTTTTTTTCAAATAAGCTAATCTTTGTCTCAATAGTTTTCTCTTAATGCCCTCTTTCAAATGAAACCAAGAGCAACTTTATAAGTTGTTCAGTCTGGTAATTTTAGTACTATTCTGGATAATTTTGGGGGACCGCCTAGGTCAAGAATTTGCTTGTTATGTTCAATTTTGTTTTAAAGATCCCATGTTACCCTGCCATACTCCAGAAAAATTCCGAATTAGCATTCAAATTTTACAAAATTAAAATTATAATGGATAAAATATCAATTTTCTGGTTGTGAGTTTTCATCTCTGAATATGTCAGGTATATTTTTCGCAATTTGTTTCATTGTATTTGATAATTTAAACGAAAATTATTCTTAACTTCCCCAAAACTAAATATCATTTCCTAGAATTTCGTCAGCACTTGAATGCGAATATGATGTTTTCCTGTAGAGTTTTGTTACCACAATCAAAATTGGTCATCAAAATGACTGTCAAGTGTTGTTGATCAAAATTAAGAAAGGCTGCTACTTTTTTATTTTCTTTACTACTTAACATAATTCGCCAGCGGAGTATCTAAAGTCATTTATTTGATACTGGGTTCGCGATTCAGCTGCACCCCATAGTTTTGAAACGGAAACACTTAGCAGTCGCATTGATGATCCATATTGATCATGAGAATCTAACCTATCATGGCAGTATAACAAGGGTCGTCAATTCAAAAAAACATCAGCAAGATCGTAAATTTAAGATCTCTGATTTTGAATGACCAGGTAGACAAACTGAAAATGATGAGCTTGGTGCAAAACGGTGCAGCTTGCACCAGTATTTTTCTCTTTTTTTCGAGATAATATTCACCGCAACGGTGTATTTTTCTTTGAAACATCTTGTACTTACTAATATTTTGCATGTTACAACTCTGTACACACATATCTATGTAAATAAGTTTTGTACCTGTGTAATATATGTGTAAGTGAAATACTAATATTTTTCAGGCGGAATCTGAATCGAGAAGATTTAATTCCGATCTTGTTTGAGTTTGTTGGTTTGAACTGTTTCTGGATAAATTCAATTGCTCTGCTTTTTTATACCTTTTTTGTTAATTTTTATATATTTTATCTCCATTTTAACAAATTTTGTCAACCACGTACATTTATTTAACATACTTGAATCCAATAGCTGAGTGTTAATGAAAGATGGAAACAGTAAAGAGAGAATTTTAAATAACTATGATTCTTCTTTTTATTTCATCACATTACTTAATTCATTAAGATGCTGAAGCAAACTGGTAAACCTTGATTAGTCTAGAATTGAAATGGTATGTGTAAAACAGTGAACTTGGCAACGCTGAATAATTCTTAATCTTTTTCCCCCCTCGTATTTCATGGTATTCAATCCTGAAATACCAAGAGTGGAATCAAATTGGCATGCAGTTTAGTTACAGTCCGAAGATATTTCAGGTATGAAAAGGTGCGAATTTGATTTTCCTCAAAAAAAGACACAAAGAAAAAAAGTTCACTGAAATTTTATTGACAAAAAAGAAGAAAGAAAACACAGAAAAAAGGAGTCAAGGTAGATTACAAAATAAAAATATCAGAAATGGAAAGAGAAATGATCAACAAAAATGAGGGTAATTGATTGGATTACAATTGGGACTTGATTATTTTCACTGATAACAAAATTACGCTACGACAATTAATGTACTAATTTGAATCTCCAAATATTTGCGACTGTTCAAGCAAATAATGAAAGAAGGAACATTCTAGGTACGATTTAACAATTAAAAATCAACTATTAAAACATGCGGAGTAGAAACAAATCTATGACAATTTTATCTATCTTTAAAGGTAAACAAAAACAAGAAGAGTCAGTGTGAGCACTTGGGTGATTTACTTCTTTAAAAGAAATACCCATTAAAGGGCAAAATGAAAAGGGCATTTAAGGACAAAAACTATCTAGAATCTGCGATTTACTCTGAAGACTAATCGAGTTATCTTATAATATTTTTATACAAAACTCAAAACAGTGATACTTGTGATATTTTTGCAAAACCCATGATCTGAGTCCCTTTACATAATGCTATTCGCCTTTTTATCAGTTGTTATATGAAAGACAGGCATAAAATTTTGGCAACCTGAAGGGAGGCATTCACATATTCTGCTGAAAGAATTTTCTGTAAGTGAAGACAGAGGCTTTGCCATGCAGATAAAAGTGTTCATTAATTTCATCATTTTTTTAAAAAAAACAGGCAGAAATTACATAATCACTTTACGAGTTTTTGTTACAGGGAGAACTAGGCCTTAAAAGATATTCGGATCACACAGTAGGTACAGAATACTATTTTAATATCCAAGCACAATATCAAACATGTAAAATTTTATAAGAAGACAGAACCTCGTTCAAAGATTAAATTACAGATGCCAATTTTTGAATTTTAAAATTTTGATGATTCATTCATAACTAAAACTTCAGTAAAATAAAAAGACAATCACAAGCATACTCACACCAATCACTTTCAGATTAGAATCATAAATGCACTTGCAAAAACATTTTTAATTTTGTGACAAAAAGAAAAAAAAAAGTGAAACAATTGAGAAGAAAGAATCAGAACAGAATACATTTAAAATAGACTAGACGTTTGTTTCTTCTTCTTTTTTCCAACGTATAAATAATTTCAAGTTACCATTTGACAATACTTATGAGAGAAGCATGCAACAATTACAAGGAAAAATAACATATACAAGTGAGTGAATGGGTACTTAAACCATACTGAGCAATTCCTCTTCAACTGACAAATACTAGCTACATACCTTTTATTACCGTGCAATGAAAAATCTATTAATTCTTTAACTTGCTACCTTCGAAAAGGAAGGAGAGCACTACATGAAATATAGTTAGAGACATATTCTTTGCAAGAAATAAGATTTGCAGGAATTTCTTTCTTGCTTCTTATAGTTGCATGAGGGGGACAAATGGACTGAGTTAAGCAGAAAGGAACCAAACCGCATTTTGGAAAAAATTGAGTTATGAGTGGTTTTGAACTCAACCACTGCTCTACTATCTATCACCAAAAATTCAAAGTTTTTGTTGGAGCAAATTTTGTAGAAATTGAACTTGAAGTTTATCTTTTACATTGAGTCTTATGCAAGAGCCAAACTTTAAGCCTCTTTTTCTCAGTTCGATCCCGATGTGGCTTGGTTCCTTTCTGTTTAACTCCGTCCAAATAATCAGCAAAAAGATAAAAAGAAGAGACAATTTTCGGGAGTACAATTTGCCACGGTACAATTTTGAGGTTACCATGAGTACAATTTATCAGTGCAATTAGGAGGTAAATATTGAATGTAAGGTGTAACTTACTTTTTTCCTGCTACAGGTACTCATTTAAAAAAATATTTGCATCCTAAACTAATCATAACTATGAATATCTTAACTCAACGTCAGTCTTCAGCTAGTGGTCGTTGGCGTTTTGTCTCCTACCTGAATTTGTGCTTTTCACTCAAACTTAGGAGGGAACTCTCAGTATCAGTCTTGGCTCACAATGTATAAAAGTACCTACCAATGAAACGAGGAAAATTTTTTTGGTTTCTATAAATAACGTATAAAATTCAAAAATCGAAAAGTGAATAACTTGCAGAAAAAAATCACAGCATCGGAGTTACTATTTTAGTAAAATTTAAAATAAGATTCAGCTAAACATCTCCTACAACAAATTGCAAACATCGCAAATGAGGGGCTCTCTTGCTGCGACAATTTAATATTTGGCGACTGTAAAGCAGTAACATTCAATTAAACAGGATGGGCCTCATGCACTGATAAATTTTTTCATGAATATTTACACTTTAGATTTTAACAAGTTAACTGTCGTAGTTTGTCTTAAAATCCGCGGCAAGTAGAGAGGTGCAAAAGACTTGAAACTTTGATGGATAGGCTACATTTTACAATGAAAACTACGATTTCTGGCTCAGTTTAGAAACAACGTATGTACCGTTGGTTTCCCCCTGTACATAAGTGTTTTCACATATGAGCCAAGAATTGTGGTTCTGAATTGCAAAATGCAGGTCAGATATCGCTTAGTAGCAGCTGCTCATTTATCAGAAGCCGGTGAATCGAGAGGTTATGCAATGATACAGTTCTCTCTCCACTTAGCAGAAATGATTCAAGAATGACTTTCGTAAGTGCTTGTCCCTAGGGACTAGCATGGCAGTTGACGTGTTAATACATAAAAAGGAAAGAAGAGTACATCCCCTATTTGCATCAGGCCAGAAAAGAAAATGTCTCTGTTTAAGTTCTGGGCAATGAAACTCGCTTATCATCATATTTAATTCTTCATGATGTAAAACTTGCACTGTGGGCACTAAAGTGAACGCTTGAAGCCATTGCAAATTTTGTTGACATGCTAAAGCACTAGGACAGTTCTCATTTTCTCTGTTGATAATAACCTGACAAGCATTGAATTAGTAGCATGTTCTCCATTGAATTTATGGAGCCTATTCAACAATCAGGTGTTTAATAATATGAAAGACATTTCCTAAATAAGACTGGGTTGCACAAGTTTTGTAGTGCAAAAGTGCTAAGGGCAGGGAGTTTTCCCAAAACTGTCTCTTCCTTTTCTTTCTGTCTCTTACAAGATGACAAAGGAGGTAGAGCTAACATTGAAAATATTGATACAAATTATTCAAGACATGCACACTGGGGCAGAGGGTCAAATTGAAGAAATAATGCCCTCGCCTGCGATTTCACCTATTTCCATTGGATTTTTTCACTTATTTTTAATCGTTGTAGCACGGATGACAGGTCAAAGTGCCACAGTCTCTTCTGTGTTTATCGGCTTCTATGTTGACATTTCGCACTTTTTCCATGTCCATGTCTGCAATTGATGGATGAAGAGGTTGCGTTCCTTTAATCATAGCTGTCTTGAGTGCCCATCTAAGAAAGAAATATTGACATCGTTGTAAGTGGGACGATTTGTGTGAGGTCTTCCCTCGATGAACCAAACAATCACGGAGGAGTCCTCATGAGATTGAGAGATTTTAGTTTTGAATGAAGGAAAGTCACTCACATGGACTGAACTGACAGGCTGGAAATATGTTACAGGTTTTGTACAAAAATAGAGCTTGCGCATCGAAAGTTCAGTCAAGTGTCCGAAAAGTTTAAGATTTTCTTATTTAAGTGTAATTAAGTATTTTACGCAGTTTGTAAGATTTAATATTCTAAAAAAAGCATAAACATTTGTACTCTTTAAAAATTTAGAGAATAGCGAAGACATTTGTCCAAACATAAGTTGCACTTTCAATTTTTCCACACTTGGTAAGTTGACTTTCAAACTAATGATGATGATAAGTTATTGCATCTTTTCAGCATGATTACGATCTGATCATAGAATTAACAAATTTTCCGAAAAATTTTGATAAGAAAAGATAATTTACAAGCAATTGATCATCCATTCCTCAGGTTCACTACCTCCACTCAAGACCTCATTGTCTAAAATAATCCTACCTTCAAAGAGCACACACATTTATGGCTCACTAAGAGACATGACCACTTAAAGCCGATCTTCTGTCGAAAAATTACTGAAACATTGGTTAAAATCATAAGTAATCTTCAAGCTTAAAAATCATTGAGTTGAAAAAAGTATGTAGTGGTAAAAAAATGAAAAAAATAAAATAAAATAAAAATAAAAAAAGTTTTCGGAACTAAGTCTCAATTTTATTAATTTTTTCAAATTTTAAAAAATTCCAAAAAAGAGCAGAGATATTCACAATAAATATGCAAGATTACAAGAGAGACACAAGATTATACACAAGTACAGTAAACTCCACACACAAGTTTAGAAGCACTTAAGCAGCCACAAGGCACAATTTGTTTCACATACCTGAATTTTTAAATTTTTGCAATCTCCTTTTGTAAAGAATAATGACAGAAAATAAAATATACATAAAATTGATAAAAAGGAGAGGCAAGGTGCCTAGTTTGATACAATCTGGAAACAAATTTTTCCTGAAAATTAAATTTATAAGGTCAAAAAGTTTGATTCAAAATTTACAATAGGCGCTACAACTTAGTGAACTATCAGAATAAAAAGACACTATTTGAGAGAGATCTGGTAAAACAAGAAGAAGAAAAAAGGACCCTAATATGCGCTTAATATCCGAGCCCTAAGTCTCTAAGTGCTATTGATATTCCCAGGGTTGCCACAGGACTTAGATAAAGAATTTCCCTGACACATTTTGGTAAAATTCCCTGACAATGAAGATCTACCAGCTGGTTAAAAAGACATAATTTGAATTAGTTTCCAGCCTAAATTTGTTGATCAAAACGTTAAACCCATTCTAGAAAGCAAATAGAAATAACTCAAAAATTTTCCCTGACCGTTTAAAATTCCCTGACATTTTCTGAACTGTAGCAACCTTATTCTCGAGGATTCAACTTACATGGGAATATAGGCGGTAATTTAAAAATTTAGGGAGTTTGATGGTAGTTTACTGTACGACAAATTACAACAACATCGGCGCATGCACAAACGCTTCAACAACTTTACATAAATAGCTATGTATGCATACATGATAAGGTATACTACTTCAAACTTAAATAAGCTAAAAGGAAAAATAATAATTACAAGAAAAGCTACAGAACAAAATAATCATTTGACCACTTCTATCCTTTACATTGAACCAACATGAAGGCTTTCAGAGATGTTGGCAGCGCACAATTAAGAACACACTGAACACCTGGCCTAGAGTTCGAGGAGTTGTGAATTCTATAGATGCTGTTCTTTGGAAACATTTGTGAGACTGGAAATTCAAAGTACTCTTCTGTTAGACCTAATTTTGGTTCTCAAGATACTTTGAGCACCACAAAGTATAGCAGTAATGAGCCAAGTACATAAATATGTTTGTACATACAAGCATCGATTCGTGACAGTTTAAATGGTTTCTAAAATTAGCTTTATATAAAAAAAAAAAGATTCCTTCCCACCTAGCTTAGTCTAATTCTGTATTAATGCGAAAGAAAGCCGTACAATCATTTGAGTATTGCTGTACTTTTTTGGATAAAAATGTATTTTTTAAAAAAGTTTTGAACATTCTTACTTGAAATTTGCAGCTGTCCTAGGAATTGTAAATGAACTGCTTTTAAAACAATGAAGAAAATAAATTGAAACTTTCCTGAAAAATTTTAGCTTTATCAGAGAAACTAGCAAAATTACTCTATTAAAAAAAAGAAAAGAAAAACTTGAGCACCAATAAGAGGATTTAACTAACGGTCTTAGAATAATGAATAATTTGTCCTTTCCGAGTGAAAAGTCAATTGTAAAATCTATGATCTTAATTCCCTAATTTTTTGAGCTTTGATTAAGTTGAACTTAATAGCGATTGATGTATTTGATGCGGGGGTCCGGGAATTTAAAGCATTCCGGTCTGTCCGGCAAGTTTTTTCTTGTGATTTTTTTTTTNGGGGGGGGGGGGGGGTGTTAATATAATATGTGTCAATAGTTAATTGTTTTAGTGTATTTCTTATTTTGGTTACCTTCTCCTATGACAGGCTATTTCTGAGAAGCAATACAATGTTGTTGAGCTTGGCTCAAGGGAAATTCTAGAACGACATAAAATGAAATAAAGTAAAATGGATCTAAAATTTTATGAAAACTGGATGTAGTTTAATAAAAAAGGTATTTCAGCTCACTGCCTGTCTTTGGTTAAAAATTAAGCATTCCCAAGTTAAATTATATTTTTTCTACTTTCTAATTTATGCAAAAGCTACGGTCCTGAAAAAGCTTTCATCATTTGGAGCAGTGTCATATCTTTAAATTGTTTCCAAAGTGTACGAGAATCCACAAAATTCACCTCCTCTATAAAAACAGCGTACACATAAATTTCCTATGAGAGGTGTCATCAGGAAGTTGACTTTCCGATGACATTTAAGAGCAAGATAAAATGACGCATATCTTTGTAGTTAAAGAGTCTGATGTTTGCCTGCCAGTATTGGCAACTAACGAGGAAAATACAGGAGGTACAGAATAGTTACAAATTTTAGGGTGTAAGACGAGTTCAGGACGAATCAAAATCGTTAAAGTGATCATAAACTATAAGTCTCAAGATACTTCCCTTTCATTTCTCAATATATTAAAGGCTTAAATTGAAAAAGACTTAACTTCATTGCGAGGTTTCGAGAGCTACATTTTATTTTTTACAGGAAAAACTGATGAATATTATTACCTGAAATTCTCAAAAAATATTCTTCATCCGAAAACAAGATTTAAGGAGAAATTTTGAGTAATAATATTGATTAGTTTTCGTTTTTTTAAAAATAAAATGTGACATGAAATCTGCGATGTTGCAATTGGAGATACGCCTTTTTTGACTAGAGCCATTGAAATCTGTCCTATGTCATAGGAAATTTTGATCTGTTTTTCTGCATAATATATCACGCCTCTCAACACTGAAAATTTTATCTTATCCAATCCCAGGATGTCATCAAACACCCTCCAAAAAATTGCCAACCAAGTCTAAACTGACCACCATCTCCTCTAATTTCAACATAAGCAACCAACAGCGCTTTCATATGCAAATAGAAAGTGCGAAACACACACCTCCCTTAACGACTCCTCTACCTGCTATTTGCAGGACACTAATCTAATCCACTGGTTTGTAAAATTAATGACACTAATATTACAGGCATAAAAGTGGGCAAAATGTTGACAAAGATTTCAATCAATGTTGACTGATACAGCTTAGGAAGTTGACAAAATTTACAGTTTAGACAGAGAATGAGAAGCCTGGAATTAAAATTTGTAAAATTTTCCAGGTTTCAACATCATTCAATGAGTCATCATGTACATGTAAACTTAGGTCAGTTCCTGCGTATTTGAGGATGAAAGTAACTGAACTTGATCTTGGGATTAAAAAAAATAATTGAAAAACCTAGGGGTGAGGAAAATTATAATAGTAATAATACAAAGAGAAAGTTCACTTGTGATTTCCCAACTATCAATCTATACAAAATTTAAGTTTCAAGGTGGCGATAGAAAAAAAATACAACTCAAAAGAAACATCTCACTATGATATAAATGTATCATTGAAAAAATTAATAGAGAAGAGAGGATAATGCATACAATACTAGGAAATTCGGCACCAGTTAGAATTCAATATTATTGATATGATGTTCCCTGAACACAATGTGCTTCAGTGCCAATCTTCGGAAAAGTAAGGCTGAAAGCGATTTTTTTTTCAGCTCTCTTACATGAGTTTTTTACTGGAGATGTGGGACTGTTTTATCTTGTGTGAAGACACTGCGCCGCTTATCATCCGGAGGAATTTGATTATTTTATGTTTAAAAAATCGAAAAGTAACCAGCGCTGAATTTCTTGGTACTGTGTGCGTTGTCCTTTAAAAAATAAAAAGATAAAAAATGAAGAAAGGTAGAAAACAGAACAGAAGTAGCTTCCGTGCGCATAAATAACGCCAAGTTACGAAAGGGGACAATATCTGGTTTCATTTTTACACAACAGAAAGAATGAAAAGCGTTTTCAATTTGTTTAATGTTAATCAGCTATTTCAATTCCTCGTAGTAGTGGTATGAATGAAAAATTCATCTGAATCTTTCCCACCATTTTGTCAGGCATACAATTTACAAAAGCACTTCTTACTTTTTGTAAACATCGCCTCAGTGATCAAGGGTTTCATAAATGAAAGTCTGGATGGCCATATTATTTTCGCAGCCATTATTTCCCAATTCATTTATAATCCCTGACAACTTTTATGCCCTCCCCCCCTCCCACAAAAAAATACAAAATATGCCATTATAAAATTTGACAACACCACATAAATGTTAATAATTTATTCTGGAAATTTTTACGTCAATAACATAATTTTCTTTGTTGCTATTTCGTCAAAAGTGGTTCTGTCAATACAACTTCTGAAAAAAGTCTGAATCGATTTTTCCTCTATGCAATTTAGGATTGATATTACTTGACAAGGGGGAAAATTTTTCGAAGAGCTTTCCTTGGTGAAATTTTAACACATGGAAACTGTGACAAAAAAAATTATGAGGAAAACAATTTGATCAATGAAAGATCGGACAGCAGAAAAAGAAGGAAAATTTAAAAATTCAACTGGTCTTAATAGATTGATTTAGTGGCTGCGTCATCATGGGAAATTTTGTCGCTTCTCTGACGCAAGGGCACATCTCTTTTTTCACGTGAGCCTCAGAAAGCATAGTTATACAGAGAACAGAACTCATATGGAAATCGAGATACACCCTTACGTCAGAGGAGCGACGACTTACGCTCAGCTATTCAGTGATTGAACAGAGTGTCAGTGTCTACAAACTTGGAGAGAAAAAATGTCAGACTTTTCCTGGTTTCCGAGACCAAAATTTCAAAAATTCCCTGGCTTTCCACATCAGCAGTTAGCAAGTATAGAACTCAAAATGGACAATTTTTGGCATTAATTTCATGGCTAATGGCAGAATGTGAACCTTTTTTCTATCAGTATTAATCATTCAATTAAATAAAATTGAGATTCCGCACTGAAAGTTATTCCTCTCTCCACCGTTGAGCCCAGAGACAGACTAAGATTGTGTAGACAGCGATGATGCTTTTTCAGATTTCAAGTTTCAAGCTGTTACAAATTCTACAGTTTTGCATAAAATGTCCTGTTTTCAAGACCTGTATACGTCCTGCTAAACTTTATAAGCTCTTTCAACTAGGCATGGATTTTTTCCAAGCTAAGATTTTTGCTTATGACCCTCACAAAGTGAAGACCTGACTTCCTTGACTCAGCAACAATTTTGTAAAATTAGTAATTCCTTGGCTTGTAAATCTGATAGCAGGCTGAGACTGAAAGATTTCCAACTCAATGTGTTTTGAACGATGATAAATGAAAGCGTCAAATGATATTCAGGAACATAAAGATAGTGATTCAACATACATAAGATTAGGGAACCTGACCCTATTTATTGGAATCTACAGCCACTAAATCAATTTATCGAAGTTGTAGAAGGTCAAGTGAGTTAGGCACATCCAGAGACTGTCAAAACCTAGCATAACCTTCATAACGTTACAAAAAACATTGAGAGCCAAGCTTTCGATTATTCACTTCAAAGATTAATGAGATAATTGAGAAGAAAAAATTTACAAAAGCTTTTGATCTGCAAGGAAAAGATAACCAAAGATGTTGAATCATTATCAGTCTGGAATGCACTTAACCCAGTTGCCTTCTCAACCTGGTTGGAATCTAAGGCCGATAATTACATAATGTAGTAAAAAAAACAACATACTGAGAGGAGGTACTACCTTAATATAAGCCTAGGAAATTTTGGAAAAATTGGATAGCTATTTCTCATTCAGAAAAATCACAGATTAGTGGAAATACTAGATTTGTAAAGATTCACTAACATTACAAGTATAAGAGAAACAATAAAAATCAGAACTTAAAAACATATTTCATACACGTTAAACATAATTGATTTGTAAATATTTTTAAAATTAAAAGTACACCTAACTATCATTCATCATGTTGTGATAATACACTCAGGCATCATCAGAGAAAAACTCGAGACTCGAGTTATGAGGCTTTCGGTATAAAAATATACGAATGGATTTAAGATTTCATTTAAAAGAGAGAGAAAGAAAGAACTCAAGAACCTAGACAAAATAAGAATGTAACCGCGAAATATTTAAGCACGAAAACTGTTCCAATGGTCGAATATTACATAAAAAATCACAAAGGATAAAATCTGGAAAAAAACAATAATAAATAATTTAATCTTAAGATTAAAGTCCCCACTTTGACAAGTGCCATCAATTATTTTTTTACATATTAGTTAAATAATAAATATTGCAACAAGAGAAATAAAATAAACAAACAATAAACAATTAAAAAAATAAATTAATTAGTTTAATCGCGAAATATAGCCGAGGTACTGAATAAGTAAAAAGAGTTAACAAAAAAAAAGAAATCACGATAAAAACAACGCGGAGCATTACTTGACTTCAACAGACTACCGCGAGAAACATAGCGATTTATTTGTAATTGACAAAAATACACACGAAATGAGATTGGTCGATGGTCTTTCGATAAAAAAAAGAAAAAAAACGCGAGTGATTAACGAGTTTGAATCTTGAGAGACGCAGTGAGGACGAGGCAAGAGAACGATTTTCCTTTTTTCTTTCGAATCACAAAATAAAATTAAGAAAAAAAGGTGGAGTATTCACGCGACGTGTTTCCCGGGAAAACACGATAGAGTAGTTACGACGCGAACGCGAGTGTTAGCAGTGCCTTACCCTCCCCCCTCCCTACCTACCCTGCTGCCAACAGGATTCGACGAAAGACTTGGGCCCTCGGTGATACACTCCTGATACAGTTTCACCCGTTTCAGTATGACACCACCTGAAACAAAATAAAGAAAAAAAGATACATCTCAAACATTGCTCATGAAAAAAAGACATATCTGACTCTCCTCAAGGAGAAGGACCATGTTTCAGGACCAAGGACGTTATTCATGGTGTCTAAAATTCTCAACCATGCTCATTCCCTGATTTTTCCTGATTTTTTCTGGGAAAAGTTTTTTCCCACTTCCACAGGATTCTCTTGAGAAAAACTATAGAATCCTCCGGAGTTCTAGATAGAAATACATATCGGTTTTTTCATTTTGCAGCCGATTCTTCAGCGCAAATTAGAAATTTTAATTCCAAAATCGTTTATGATGTTTATACTTTCTGATTAATGAATTCATCTCGATAGTCATTTCTAATAATATTCATATTACTTCACATTCATGGCAAGTTGTATTTCTCATTTTGTCGGCTCTAAATTTTCCTGTTTACAGGGTGAATGTGCTGCTAACTTGTAGGCCGATTATTGAAAGTTCAAGGCGGTACGATAAGATATTGAAATGCGATAAATTACATAATTAAGATAGGAATGTCTCTTGTCTTGTCGTTATCAACATAGATTCAATAATCGCGTCAATGCTGTAGGAACCAGCATAAACTGGTCTTACAAACCTATCGAAAATAGATTAAGGAAACATCAGGTTTATACACACAGAAAACTGGCAAGGAAAGTAGGAATCAAGATGGGACAATTTTCTTTTGGGATGCTATGAAGGCTTCTTTTTACTTGAGTAGCCTAATGATGATGCTGGTTGCGCTCAATTGAGCTGATCCAGGGGGGGAGGGGGGCAGCGGCAGCTACAGCGCTCTACTCCAAGGTTACAAAGTCTACTTCACATATTTCTTTACACAGAAATGACAGAGAAATAGCTGTCCAAAAATTTTCCTGATTGTTCAAAGTGATCCGTGAAAATATCTGGGATATTTTCAGTAAAAAAAAGTGTGTTAGTTTACCAGTAGAAATAAACATTTAGAGCAGAGGTTTGGTGACGTTGAAATGAAATTACGTTTTTTCGTCACAGAAACAATGAATTGCGCAAGAGACTTACCAGAGGAATTTCTCATAGGCCGTAACCGACAGAGAGCCGCTCAGATAACTGGGCTGGGAACTGGTCAGAGAAGCGTTTCCAGTTTTCTTCTCCGACTTGGTTCTTGAATCCATGCAAAATCTACAAGAACCAAAATGAAGAGCAAGTTAAACACAGACAAAAAACACAAAAAAGGGTTCCTTTTCGTCACTATTTTTTTGGGCAATAATCTAGTATCCTGTACACCTCAAAATATTCCAATAACTCATCATATATCGCTGAAAAAAGGATAAACTTGGTTTACTCTTACAAGAAAATGTTGAGTAAAACCTATGTATGAGCTTTTAATGACTTTAAAAATAACTGTCTGAATCATAAGAAAAAGAAACTCTGTGAGATCTCCGATAGGAAAAGGCAAAATTGTTATACTACACACAAAAAATTATAATGAGGAAAGTGCCAAGTTGGTTGCACTGGAAGACAAACAGACTACAAATAAACGCTAAAATGATCGTGTAATATAACATTTCAAAATAAATGGTAGTTAGCATTGATTGCTCAATTTGGTTCTTCCTATACCACTGGGTCATTCCACACCTATCACATAAAATCAAAACAATGGACCGAAATAGATCCGTCATTCAGTCCAAAGGAACAGATCGTTCAGTCGGTCAAAGAGATAATTCAAACGGTTAGAAGAGAGAGACGTTTTGAATGGCTTTTCGAGAGACAATGTGATTGGTTGATTAAGAGACAATCCAAACAGTTCACTGAGGAACAATATATTTAGTTGGTTCAGAGGGAATTCGAAACTCCAGATCCTAGACCTCGATAAAAATGCTACCTACAAAATTAATGAAAAGCTAATTTGATGAGATAAAGGACTGGGTGAGACAGAAAAAGAAATTGTATATTAGAGTGAGACCTTTGAGAACATTTCTTTCAGATCCTCCTTCGGGCTGACCCACGAGGCAACAGCATCGCAGAAAAAGATAAAATCTTGAACGACACCGGCAGGATTGACCGTTATCATCTGACACATTCCTCGGAAAGCGCTATCTTTTTCTTCATTGTCTCGGATATTCCTCAATGACAAACACCTGCATAAAGAGGAAACAATAAACATTAAAACATCACGAAGGGAGAAAGCAGATTATCTAATTAGTAACTTCAAGCAGGAAAACCAGTATTGCCGATTGTGATTCTTTGATTTAAATGTAAATCGAACAGCGAATAAAAAAACCAAGATAAGCCCGAGAAAAATGCAGATATTGGAGATGCTAATTTTTACTACATGCTGCTTTACAAAACTGTCTAGGTAGGGCAAACTAAGTTGCAGATTAAGAAGCACAGGAGTAAAAACCTATCGCAATTTTTGCGAAGTTTAAACGGAGGTGAAAGTAAAGTTTATTTTTACATTGATTGACTTTCAGTTTAAACCTATCAAGGTACAAGCTATGTACATACTGCGTCTAATTTTTAGTTCAATTGTGCAGTTTGTGATTGTTTCCATCTACAATACTTGAAGTTGAATCCTATCGGAAAGATGCGATTTCATCGACTGTGAATAAAAAACGTAATCTTGACGATTGGACTTATTCTTGACATGATCTTAAAATCATGCATTCAGAGTTGACTTGTAAAAAGAATGCTGAGACAAGGAATTAATACAGGCATGACTGAAAAAGATTTGAATGAAATTGAAATTGCACGGCATGGCATGCAATTGCTATTGAATAGCTAGGTTGGAAATTAAATGCCCTGATACGCATTTTATCGTGGAATTTTGCTTCAGATGCGAGGGACACAATCAAAATTAAAGAATCCAACCCATTTTGGAGCAGTTAGTGTTATCCGATGTTGTCATTTCTGACTGTTTTCTTGTAAAGAAAATAGAAAGAAAGAAAAAAAAAAAACCAATGTCTACTTGAGTAAAATAGGATACTAACACAATTTTGGTGTCTTCAACAATAAAATAATTTTCTTTGTGAGCCAAAGTCTATAATTTAAGAAAACTGTGCATCAGAGGGAGAACAAGGTTATTGTAAACCCAAATTTTAGTCCTTTTCACAATACGTTGGTTTTTAGCCAATTTGGCCCAAATTAATTTGCCTCTTTTTTGCCAGCAATAGGTTGGGATTTACTGCATTTTATATGAGTTGTTCTGTAAAATTTTTGATAAGTTCTGCGTATTTTCTGAGAAAACATGCATATTTGGAGAAAACATTTTTAACGATAATTTAATTCTCATCCACGTTGATCGAAATAACCGTGCTAAAATGCTTGATTTAGTGCTGGCAGAAATCAAGCCCAGAAGAACAAGTGTATACACTTGCTTAAGTAGAGAACGTCACCTGTCTAACTAATTTGCTAATTTTTAATCCGGTCAAAATAGGGAAAAAGCTGCAAACTATAACTAGGTATTCTTATCAAATTATTTCCACAAAACCACTTTGGGCCACTCAAATGAATTCTGGATTTTGCAGAAAGTCCACTTTAGCTTCAAATTTTTAACAAAACTGAGCCACCAACTTAATAAGTTTAGATTCATGGCTATTTGTATTGGCAAAGTTGGCCGACATGCATTGAATGCGACATGGGAACTAAGCTTCAAGGTGCTCATGCTAGGTGACTTAAATTGGGCGCACACTCAAAAAGCAGAGAGATCTTCAACACAGGAATTTTGTACAATTTGTTCGTATTCATCATAGGAGGGTTCCTCAAGAGGCATACGTTTTTTTACTTAGATGGTTATTCAATTAAACAGCTCTACATTATCTGACGAAGCGGTGAGACACCACGGAACCGGTTCTTTGCCTTAACATAATAAAACTAAGAGTATTGATTCGTAACTATGCAGTGGCAAGTGACTAAGTACTTGAGACATTAGCCGCAAAAGATTCCAGTTGACAAGAGGGGAGACTAACATAGCATTCTTCTTCCCGAAAAGAAAATTATTTGATATTTGACGCTGAGGCGTTTCTGACGCATTTTTCATTCTTTCCATGGTAATTCACGGGTGAAAATTGTCTTTTAGCCACAAATTGCAGCATAATTGAATAACAATCTATAATTTGATATTTGCAAGACTGAACAGCATTATAAATGCATGCTCATTGGAGCCAAGAAAAATACACTGAGATGAAATTCTGAAATACACTGTTTTCAGAACAAAGTATAGGGAGCTCAATTTCTTGCAAAAACGGCCAACGGCTCTAGTCGATTCCTCTCGTTGAAAATTTCCAGCAGCTTATTTTCATGTTATGTTTGCTATAGGAGATAAAAATCCCAAAAGATTTGCTTCTTGGTGAACAGATAAAATTTTCCAGGATTATTCATTGACCTTTACAGACGAAAGAATAAACTTAAAGAAAATAATGCAGGAAATTTAGAAATGGAGAGAATCAATTAATGCCTTTCCATGGTAGACTAATTCGATATATAAGGGTTTCTAAAAATATTCATGTATGTACCTCTCCTTTGCATTGTTTCAGTAGAAATGAGATATTTTATCGCGATCCCCTTCAGCAAATATAACTCGAAAATGTGTAAGTTGTACGCAATTTTCATAGAGAGGAATGGACTTGTGTCATTTTTATAAGAGATTGAGCTCACTACACTTTCCTCTGAAGCATCTTAATGAATTTTTTTAATGTATTTTTCTTGGCTCCAGTGAGCATGCGTTCATTCGAAATATTTCAATTGCATTCAAGAAAAGAGCGAAGATAAAAAAACTATTGGCTAAGAACCTTATGGTCGACATATCTGCCAGAAATGTCAACAATTTTATCATGAAGAACCTTACACATGGAGTTTTTCCACATCTGTGCAAGAGCTATCTAATGAAGTAGTGCAAAAATTTCAGAGCAAATATGGAGGCAATTGAAAGTGTTTCATGTACTGGCATGACTAACCGACAAAACACATTATTTCGTAATGCACAATTTATGCTACGCGATTTTCAGTTAGGCTTCTACTGCCTCTTGAAGCAGAAACTGAAAATGATCACTGATCAGTGCTACTTGAACACTAAGCTCTCACTATGAAGTTGACTTTGGACATTTTTAACACATTCAATATATTTTGCATGAATTTTTGATGAGAAAACACATCTCAATATTTTTCAAATTTTACCATGTCTGTTAGTCCATTAGTCATGAGGATAAAAAAACAAAAAGTCAAAAACATTTAGAATCAAATTGAGGGATTCAAAATCCATCCCAATATTTAATACAAACGCCTCCATATTATTAGAACCACTTGTCTTCGAAAGGGGTTTCCAGTCTTATAAGAGCCTAGCAATAAATTAAGGAAAAGCGTCATTTCAAGGCTCTCTAAAAACGGTCAAGTTCCCTTTCCGAGACAATGGGTTCATTCAAAACAAGATAAGAGTGTCACAATAATAGAGCATAAATGATTTACGATTGAAAAGAATAAGAAATGATAAAAAAGGGGTAGTACAGACCACTGGCGGACAAACTGTGGCAAAAGAGGTGCAACATCATGGGGGCACACATACCCTAGTCGACCAATCGTAATTGCTACACAACAAAAACAAAACAACAAAAAACAAAAGTTAAAAACAAAATAAAACAAACGATAATGAAAGAAACCATTAATGAACTTAAATTATAAATTAAATCAATAAAACATACGATGATAAAGTACCTTAAAAGATTGTGATTATACAGCGTAATGAGAATACACAACAATAACAAAAGTATAAATAGCAAGAATAATTGTGGAGTGTGTAATGATGGATGTAAAAATAGAATAAATCGGAGGCATAATCTAAAGTATTGCTGTCAACTATAAAAATAGGTCTCAAAAAACCACAGGATTAATTAATGAATACTGGAACCAAATTCTAGCCCATAATGCCATCTCTTACACAGAGGAATGTATCTCGATTTTGCTGTCTCGGTATTTCTAACTGATATGTTATTGTTAATAAGATAATTTTTACAAGAATTTGACAATAAATTCCAGTCATTTTTCAGGGAGTCTACAGAAATCCAAAAACAAAATTATGCCACTTTCAAGCGACTTTATGCGACCATTTCTTGCAAAAAAGTATGACCGCGAGGCTAGTAGAACAGCTTTCAATCCCCATTAAAAAACAGCTTGCAGGGAATCGGAGTAACAAGATCTCGCATACTTGCGCAAGTTGGCAGTGTGATGGGGCATTGTTACCCAAAAGTTGGGTGATACAAATACTGAAGTAGCACAGACGAGATACGTTCTCTGTTCAGAAAACGACAATAATAAGTGGATTTTTGAGACGCATCAATACTTTTTGAAGCCAAAATTTTTAACATCCCAACTTTGCCCATTTATGAATTTGAATTTTTAAACAATCAAAGTTCATTGACTCCATTGACAAAAAGAGCTGACTGCAAATTGTCTTAACCAGTGGCTAGGCGTGCTTTACAATATATCGATTGATCTGCCATTCAAACCAATGGAAAAGGATCAATGAACAAGGTGTTTGCAACCTTAATATTAAATTCTTTACCATAGCTTCAAATGGGGAAATATCGAAAATCGGTCATTCACGCCTCGCCACCGGTCTTAACCTTTTGAAATTTAGCTTTTGAAAACTTGGAATCATTTGATCAAATTAGGGGAACATTTATCTCTTACTAAATTGATTTTGTGATGAAATCAGCAAAATACGTCCATTTCATCAGGTTAAACCGCTCAAGTATTTTAGATAATCGTTTAGAATTTGAAACGGAGGCTAGTCTAGCCAGGAAAATCTAATGACGATCAAAAGGGGGAAAAGAAATATGAAAACTGCGAATGAATAAAATAACAACTGAAATGTTTGCGGTTAGTTAATGTAAATAAATTTAAATGAAAAGAAAGATAAAAGTTTCTCGCTAACATTCAGCAGCTACATACAAAACCAGACTGAATAAGTGAAACAGCAGGACAAACAGATGCTTCAAAACAAGAACACCAGATAAGTGTATGTTAAAATTTTTCGTTTATGTTTAAACTTTTTTGATTCAACAATTTACACTTCCTTGATTAAGAAAGAATTCAAGGAGAGTGGATGGTGATATACGTTTCGAGTAGTTGAGGCTGATATGATCAACTTTTAGACTTTACTTTTTTGTGTAGGATAGACCTGTTGTTCAAAAGGAAAACAACAATCTGAATAAACTCTCACTCAGTAAAATTGCATAGAAATCCTGTTGAGCATATCAAAAAAGTGTAAAATCAACTCCTTATCGCACACTTCGGGAAGTTCGCAACAAATATTTGTAAAATTTCTCACGCCTGCTGGCATTTTTTTCTTGATTTCTGGCAAAACAATTTGCCGAGAGACAAATACATAAAAATCTAAACCGAATTTCCAAAAATATTTTGCAAACTATCATTGAAATTTGTTATACTCCATTTAAATCATTTCAAAGCATCATTTATTGCTGTTTTCTCTAAATATTTGCACATTTTTTATTTTGAATGATGGACATTTTACGGGAGGAAGACTGATAACACAAAAAATTTGAAAATTGTGCTTTAGAAGAGTGGATTTTAAACTTTTTTATGTACTCACTATTATTTTCGTTCAATTTTACTTTAAAGGTATTAATCAATCAGCAGTATGTTTCTTGTACAAAAAGCTCATTTTTCTCAGATGAACTTCTTCTTTCTCATGGGAAATTTAGTTTCATACTAAATTTATCAAAGAATAGCAGTATCATCTTCAATCTCTTTCACTCTGGACAATTCATTAGTCCAATCGGCTTAGTTCTCCGAAACACAACCATAGTTCGGCAGAGGGTTACTGAATTAGTTGTCCTGATATTCGACTATAAAGAGTCTTCCAACTCCAAGAAAACTGATTGAATGTTTCGAAAGGGAATTTGAATTGATGCTGCAAGGTGATGGAAGTTATTTACCTGTATTTTCAAGTAATGTTTTGGGAGTGTTTTGTTTATTAATGATATTGATTAACTGCTGCAGCACCATTGGAATATACGATCTCATATCTTCACCTGGGGAAAAAACAGACAACGTTAATATATTTTTCAACTTCACATAATTCAAGGAGACTCAGAAAGTGACCGTGTGAAAATTTGACCAAACCATACTCTGCTGCAAATATAACTTGGCTTTGCATTATCATCCCTGAAGAGCATTCCAGAGTTGAGAGGAAATTCATTAAAGTTTTGGAATTTTATCATTTTCTGGCTAAAAATGCGAGTGATTCCTCCACCTAGACAGTGAAGGACAGTTGGGTTAGATTGATTTTTTTCACTTTTGAGTACCTATTACTCTGACTCTATCAAACAGGGGCAGCTTTAATGGAGACCACATGAGTCGCAGCCTGTGACAGCAGATTTCAGAAGTGATTGACCTCTTTTTATCTTTTCAAGTCTTCAAAGGTCATCCATTATAGAATTTGGGGCCGCAAACTGTTGTTAACCTAGGGCGGCAAAATCGTGAATTAGGCCTTAATTATGAAAAATACCACCCAACGAGCAACTGACCTTATTTGATTTGATACACTTCTGAGATGGAACTGACTGATGAAAAAAGATGGGACAAAAATAGTATATGCTGGAGACTACATTTAAATCCATGATTGACATGACAGCCAGTAAGTAGAAACAAACCGATGCTTGGGTCACCTTACATCAATAATCGACACCTCCACTTCTAAGCACTTCGGCATTAAGCGATTGCCCAAAAAAATTAAATGTGCTAGAGTTTGGAAATTTGACTTTAAGTTTGAGGAGGAAGAATGAAAAGAAAACTTTATTTTCAGGATGTTTACTCTGAGATTATATTGTGAATGAAAGAAGGAAAGGATCTTACCTAGTTTAACAGAAATTTCTCCTATCGCCCACGTGGCATTGTTACAAACCGATATTAGATCTGGATTTAGATTCTGGCCTAAAATTGGAATGAAGTCAGCTGAAAAAAGAAATGATATATGCGATGAGTACAAGACAACAGTGAAAAAAGAGAAGAAATCAGATGGCTTTTGTTTAAGCAGAACCAACTGCAGAAATTCATTTATGAAAGCACCTGACTGGATAAAGAAATTAATGGCAGACACAAGGTTCCTGAAAAAAGCAACAATAAACTGGTGCGTCTAAGATAAAACATTCAAAAAGCTAAATTGATTGCAGATAATCAAATTACTGAGGTCACGATTTCACTCTAAAATTGAGGATTTCTAGAGATGAGTATTTTCATTAATCTAAGAAAATCAGGCTATTTGCATAGCGATGGCTGAGGATGAACACCGCCTATCTGCAAACTGACAACTAAGCAGAACATAGAAGAAACTTCGCTACTTTTTAAATTTTAAAGTTGGATTTGCGATTTTTTACATTACATTACATTACAATACATTAGAGCGTCATTGCAGCGCTCCCATGCCTAATTGAAAAAAACTAAAAACATCAGCTTGCGTATTTCATACTGTAGGACACGGCGAATTCTCTAACTCATTTTCACCAAAATTGTCCCTTAATCCCCAATTAGTGCCATTTATTACGTAGAATAATTGAAAGAAAAAAAATTTAATGACAGAGACACGGTGAGTTTTCATGTAATGTTTTTATTTTAAATGCTAAGTGATGACATACCAACACAAGGGTGAACATGTTGAAAACACGCTTTGGTTAAGTCCCCGAGCAGGGCGAAAGAGCTCTGTCGCACTTCCGGCATTGGATCTTGCATACACTGATATAGCAGCTGCATTATATTAGAATTCACGACTAATTTTTCCACATGTCCGTCCAGTCCTTCTGCGAGTCCGGATAAAAGATCTAGTGCGACTATCATAAAATCTTTGTCAGGAGCTTCGAACTGTTCCGGATTCTGAGAATTTGCCTGCAAAAAGAAAGGGAGTATTGAAGTAAACAGATCACCAAAATTTTAATTGAATTCATCTGATCAAAACAGAGCTACAACGAATGGATGATTGAAATCTGGGTAAGAAAAACAAGTGACATAGTTAGAGAAAAGTCATTGAAATATAACGTACGAACCGAAAGAGTCGAAAACAAACGAAACTAACGGAAAAAAACCGAGGTAACAAACTGTGAGCTAGTTAAATGAGAAAACAGAGAAGAATCGGAAAATTAAAAAACTCAAACTCACAAAATAAAATTAAAAAGCCGACGCGTTTCGGGACACCTCGGTCCCTTCTTCAAGGCTAAATTCCGACTGCCTGTTGTTGTTTACATCCTGCTTGGTGTGGAATCTATCAGTGCTGCCAATCACTTTGAGCAAACAGTTTTCCAGGCATTCCAAATCTAAATTTACCAACTTGTCTCTCTTTTTGTGCATTTCCATAGCTTCCAAGATGTTCAGCTTCCTTCTATCGTTGCATCCAATTAACAGTTTCCCTTCCTCTTCGAACCGATGTCCTGTCTCAAGATTATGCAAAGCTACTGCTGACTTGTCAATTTCTCTGTTCTTAATACATCTTTGATGTTCTTTTATTCTTACTTTCATCTTCCTTCTTGTCTGCCCAATGTATTGCTTGTCACAGTCTTTACATTTCAAACTGTAGATGCCAGCCCTGTCTTCTTCTCTAACTTGGTCCTTAAGATCACCATGGAACACTGATTTCAAATTGTGCCTATTAACTGGAACTGCTTTTAGGTGATACTTCAGAAACACTTTTTTAAACTTTGAAAAATGGTTTGGATGGTAGCAGATCTTCACAAAGACGCCTTCATCCTCTCTTATACTTTTAAGAGTGGTCACTTCCTGAACCCTTTTGCGAAATTCTTTTTTACGAATTAAATTCCTTACAGTTTCAACTTGAAACCATTTTTCACTGCAATTTCCAAAATTCTCTGCTCTTCTTTACTACGATCCATAGGCGACAAAGGAACACTGAGCATCCGGTGGATCAAACTATTGAAAATGCTCAATTTTTGGCTAGGAGGGTTGTAAGAGTCGTTACTAATGTAAATGTCAGTATGCGTTCCTTTTCTGAAAATGTCAAAATTTAACATTCCCTTCTGCCTATGTACCATTAAATCGAGAAAGGAAAGCTTCTCGTTATTCTCAACCTCGTAGGTGAACTTAACCGACTTTTCTTGCAAGTTTAAGAACTTCAAGGCGTCATCTAAATTTCTTCTCTTCAATATACTAAAAACATCATCCACAAACCTTCTCCACACATTGAAAAGCCAATTGAAACCATTTTTAATCTTTCTTTCCAAGTCACTCATGAAAAGTTCTGCAAGGAAGGGGGATAGAGGGTTGCCCATCGTTAGACCGTCTTCTTGTTTATAAATTTTACCATTGAACTGGAAAAACCGGTTTTCGGTGCAAATTTCTGTTAGATTTACAAGATTGTTGACAATTTTTTCATCTAGCTCTTTTTCTAGCAACCATTTCTTTAAAATATTCAGGGTTTTCCTTATCGGTACACTTGGAAACGTCCCGAAACGCGTCGGCTTTTTAATTTTATTTTGTGAGTTTGAGTTTTTTAATTTTCCGATTCTTCTCTGTTTTCTCATTGAAATATAAACCTATTTCAAAGTGAATCTACAAATAAGGTTCCATATCCATCGGGCACAAGAAAGGAGACGTTGGTGCCAAAATACCACTTCTCAGAGGAATATTTGCCTAAAATTGTGATGTACAAATTACTCAAGTTTGTTGAACTAAACCGAAGTTATGATAGTGTGAAGTTTGCGAATAAAACCTTTCTTTCACGAGACGACTAATTAAAATTTGGATTTCACATGCTCAGGGTTTAAAAATTTTGGATTAAAATGCAACTGTAAGCTCATGGCTAACTGCAGACAAGGCTCCAATGAGAGAGTGCACTATTGAACTTTCGCTTTTATAAAGGGGGAGAAACACGTAGTAGTGCCACGGAAAATATTTACCCGAGACACCGTATTGGGCTGTTGAAATAAGCCACAAGAGAGAAATAAAAAAGATGGTTCCTCTGAAAACTTACTATGTGTTGGTTTAGAGTTTGCTCTATCAGACTGACGCAGCGTTTGTAGACTGGTTCACAGTAAGGCAAGAAACCAACTTGTAACGCTGTTGCGACACTCGATAAACACTGAAAAGGAGAAACAGACAATTGTTAAATGGCTTTCAAAAATTAATCAAGTAGAATGCTAGATGGATGTTGGAAGACAGCTCTTAATGGTTCCATGAGCAAAGTTGATTAGTTCTAGCTCAATTTGTTCAAGGGAAAGAAAAAAAGAAATAAGGAAAAAAATCAAAACTTCCGATTTTTTTACCTCAAGCAAAGGAAAAAGATCCTTGTCTTCATCTTGTAGAACATTCCATTTCTCGATCAAAGGTGGCATTAACAGATTAATGTAGTCAGGTTTGTTGAGGTGGTGACCTACTGAGTCTGCTAGGGTGCCGATGGCATCATACAGAATAAGCAAGTTTTTATGCTGAAACAAACACCAAAATATTAGAAGTCTGGAGCATACAAATTTTTATCAAAAATGACACTGAGAACAGGACCTCGAAAAGAAAAAAGTTGGATAAGAGAGACTCGGAAAACTTCATTCATTTTCAATTTTTAATAATATTCTTGGTGCATTTTGATTAAAAATCAATAAAAATCTACACACTATATTATAGCTCTGTTGGACGTTAATTGGTTTTGATTTGGATGCCGAGCGATTAACCCATCAAGATACAAATTTTAGATACTTTTCTCCGACTAAAATTATACTTTCAAAGCCATGAATTAAAACCGAATCCATTAAAAGTCAGAGCTCTTCTGAATTTGATCACTGGTTTCGTTGATTAATATGTACGTAAATTAAAATTGGAAAGACATAGTAAAGTTAAACTTGACTTAAAGATGTATATATCTGAGAAAAAAAAAAAGAAAAATAGATCATCCTTCTCTTTATAATCATTTTTTTTTCTTGCTTTTCCATTATAAGGAGACTACATTGATAGTATATAAAATAAAGTTACTCACCTGGTATTTACTAAATGCAAAAACTAAGGTTTCCAGAATGTACCCTAAATATGGAACTAAATCTGTACAAGCTTCTTCTTCTAGTGTTGCAAAAGCGGAGCACGCAGCTTCCTGCACCCTTTTGTTAGGATCTAGAACCCGTTTCAAAAGCTGCAAAAATAAAAAACAGAGCTTCCAGTTAAAACATGATCATTCAATTTGAATTTAGATATTTGGCTGAATATACTAATCATGGATGGAATTTTTCTGCGATTTCATGCGAACGTTTGCTGGCTTTCCCATTTCTTCAAGCAACTCCGGTCCAAAGATTGGAAAGTTACTATGGCCCTGAGCATAAAAATAAAATGGATAGATAGAAACTTATTCTAAGAAAGTTGGTACTCACTTTTTATGAAAATCCACACTCAAATGAGCAATGTAAGTGCTATATAAATAAATAATTTGAGCCCTTGATTATCATAGCTTCATAAAATTGTGAACAATATGCGAAAAAAGCACATGCCACATACCTACAAAATAAAAAACAAACATACAGGAAGACCGATGCCGTTCATTAAAACATTTTTACTGTTTGTTTTTCAATTTTTGAAGAGTGACTTGCGATTTTTTTGCAAATTGTTTTCGACTTTATGAGCTGATGAGCGAAGGTTTAAAATAGCTTTAGTAGCCTAAATTTCTCCAAATTTTCAAGTTCGGACCAACAAAGTGAGCGCCAGCACCAATTATACAATCCTTCAACAAAATTATTGAAAACCCACTTATAAAAGATAATGTTCACCGTCATTAACTTACATTCCCAGGTTTCTGACCTACCTTGTCAAAAATCGTTCCCCCGAGAATTGGCCTCTGTGCAAAAAGATCCTTCTTTTTCGCATACAATCACAGTAGAAGAAAAATGCAAGAATGCTACACTCACAAAATTTAATGGAGGAAACTTGCTTGGTACTCACCTCAGTCATTAAAGGTTTCAGGTAATTGTCATGCTGCTGGCTTACGACCCAGTGCGAGTATCTAGACAGAGTCCAACAGGTAATGGCTCTAACGAGGGCTTTCTTGTCGGACAAACAATTGATCAGGTACGGTATTAACTCGCTTAGGTGGGGGATCATTCCTTGCATACAACCTGAAAGACAGATATCGTCAGTTTACATTTGATCGGAGAGGAGAAGGTCGGACAAAAAAGTGACAGGTAGAAAGATGCGCCAAAAAAACAGGGCGAATTGCTGAAATGATGAACTGGGGCTCATGACAGCTTTCCAAAATCAAAATCGAGGACGTTCTGTCGACTTTTGATGAAGTGTTTCTTAAAATCTTTAAAGCCGTGACAATATAGGTGGNAGGGGGGGGGGGGGAGTGTGTGTGATGATTTTGATTGGCCTTGAAGGAATCACCTTAAATGGTGGATTGAGTGAAGTATTGCACAAAAATTTTGAGCAATTTTTTCCTGAATTTTGAGCTATTTATTTCCGGTTTTTGGGGTGTTTTTTTTTGCCAGAAGATTTTGGATGACTTGGTGCTTGAAAGCGAAAGATTTCAATGGAAAACTATCATTTGGTTGTTAGTTTATCTGCAACTCTGCCTAACTGCTCTGCCTCTGCAACTCATCTGTTTTGTGATGATGAAGCGCTTCATTCTGCAATAATTGTGAATAAAGTAGGATTTTTATCTCTTTCACACTTTTTTACACTATTTATTGACAGATAGTATTTGAAAATTCTATCCTGCTAAGTTTTGTTGAAATAAACCATGAAAATAATTCAGCGAAATTTCATTGAAAAGGTAGGAATCTTACACAAACATTTCCTATAACTTTATCGAATCATTTTCATGTGAGGATAGGACTTTTTAGCTGGTTGAAAATGGTTACCTTCAGCAATAGCTCCTAGCGCAAGAATTCCTGATTCCTTGATTTCCCACTCTTGATGGAACAGTGTTTCTTTTAGGATGGGTAGTAATACAGGTAATAAGTCTTCACCAAACACAACAGCTAGTACATCTAGGGCTGCAGCACTGCATTTCCCTGAAAATTGACAAGAAGAAAAAAAACAAGAATTTTAGAATTATCGAACTTTAAAAAGCTGATACTTTGAAGAATAGAAAATGAGATGAAATAAAACCATTTAATTAACATAACAGAAGTATTCTACTATATTTGTCTGCCTTTGTAATACATACCCCCCTCATGAGTGTCATTATTCCAGTTACATACAAGTATTTAGTGACCTAGAAATGAAAAGCAAAGTTTAACAATTCCTACTATCGACTCCAAATGGCTAATAAGTAAAATTAAGGACTGAACAGGGTATGACATAACTAGGTTTGGAAAATTTAGAAGACTACAGCTTCAAGAGACACACTTTTAATACCATTGTTATAGCAAAAAAGTCTTAATAAAACTCACAAATGATGCTCTTGGAGTCTGAGTGATTGACCTGGAGACCTACTGACAAAAAGTCGGAGTCATAACCAATTAAAACTTGTAAATCAATGCAAGAAAAAAAGCACCACTCACTAAGATTCCAATCAGACAGCGAACTATCATCGTCTAAATTATCATCATCTTCGTCTTCATCCTCTTCGTTTCCACCGTTTTCCGACGGGTTCCCGAAACCATCGCCGGCGTTGTGTTTGACCATGTGACACCTTGATTTGTGGAATCGAGGTCTGATATCTTCTTCTTTGTCAGGCACCATTTCATCTTCTTCTACATCACCCTGCCAGCAGAAATACGTAAATGATTCATTCAAGTTTTGGAAGTTTAGTTTGAAAATATACAGGAGCCCTGCTAGAGATGAATGCCTCAAGAGCATTCAAACTCGACAAATTTCCTCTAATAAAATCGAATATTCTGGAAAACTCAGGAAAATTATCCTTGGACAATTCAAAAAAACGAACTCGAAATTTCATTTAAAACATTGGCAGATGGTTAGGGATAGTATCCATAATTAATTAAAAAAATAAATAGGTGACAGAAGGCAAGTTGACAACACCCTAACGCGCTAACAACCTTCTTCTGAGCTATGGCAGTCCAATGAATTTGAGCCAACAACATTCTATCGGTGCATGGGAAGAGTGCAAAATATTAAGCGCAAATCTGAGCATGAGATGCATGACTTCAAACGTAGGTATAAATTTATTGAAAATAATTTGATTCTGATTTATTACTTGATAATGGCACAGAGAGTTTGTTACGTTCCTTATCACTGATTCGACTGAGTGATAACTGACAAATTATGCCTTCTCTTACTGCGAAGAAGGTGAGTTGTGAATAAGGAAAGGCATTTAGAACTATATTTCCCTTTTGAACTTGAAAAACTTTAATTTTCGACTCGCTGCGAACAAAAATTCATTTTGAAGAGATAATAAAATAGGGCACTAATTGTTACAAATATTTCAAGATAATCCACTGATTCCACATGGGTTAGGAAATTAAATTGGCTGCTCATGGTCCTGGTTTCCTGAGCCGAGAAATGAGTGATTTTGACGATTTTGGACGATTCATCCGCATGCCTCCTTCTCAAGGAGCTTTTTGGACCGTCAAATCAGATCCTAACGTCATTCTACAGGGGTTAGCTTGATTTTGGCCTGATCGAAAGACCTCCTGTTTTGACCCTGGAACATTATTCCTTATATTTCCTGTCGAATTTTCTCTATTTTTTACAGGAAAATAAGCTCCAAGGTAATCCACGGAAGAGGGCACTGATTTGTACAACATTAGCTGACAAGAACAAAATGGACTTACTTTCAGTAAAATGACATCAATTTCTGAGTATTTCATGCCCTTTACAAGGACAGGTATCAGTCTAGGTAAGTGTGGAGCGAGAGCTTCTTTGCAGATTAAATGCTCGGCAAAAGATAGCCAAAACTCGCAAGCTTCTAACGCAACACCTTCGTCTGGATCTTGAGTTCTTTGAAGCATGTACTGTAAAAGAGAAAAAAATCCAAAATTACCATCAGTGCTGAAGAAAGGATATAACATGTTTCTTACTTCCTCATAAATTTTCGATGAATGCGCTTGCGAGCTCCTTAAATCTTCCTGCATCACTACGTCTGGTCGGAGCAAAATAAACAGTAAAAGCAGCTTGAATGATTTCTGTGCGTCAGCAGAACTGTAAGGAGCTTGACTATTTACAATTTGAGCTAGCTTGTGGTCATACGTATGAAAATTGCCTGCTTTCACGATCAGAGGAGTGTCAGATACCGATGATTTGAGGAAATTTTCAAAAAGCTAGGATTATTTTTTCCCTTTCAAATTGAGAAAATTTGGAGAAAAAGAGGAATAGCAACAGAGATTAACCGAAATTGGAAAATTTCAGCAGAGATTAGGGGGGTCTGGGAAATGAAACTTTCTGCCAATCTGCTAGTGGTATACGAAGAGGGTTGTTGAAGGGCCTCAAAAGTTGTTACTTTCGTATTTGTCAGGCACAATTTAGCACAGAATCTTCATAACTTCTACACTAAAACAACAGAGGATCCTTGATAATGACAGTAAGTCACTTGGATTGCATTTTGCAAAAAGGAACCACTAGCATTGCTATGTTGCTAAGATTGTGCAACTTCTTTTGTCTTGGAGGAAAAACTCGATTGTCCCTTAATAGTTTCAATTTTACTCGCTAAAAACTGTAAATTTAAGACAAAAATTACCATCTACATTTCATAGTTTTTCCCAATTTCCGCAATTTTATTGCAAAGGATGAAGTTGCACAATCTTAGCATCATTGCAATGCTAGTGGTCCTTTTTTGCAAAATGCAATCCACTTTACCTCCCGGCCAGTTTTCTTTTCCAAAGTAGGTCCTGGATTCGATAAAATGTTTCTTTATTAAAGCTTCAAGGACATTTCATCATCAAACAGAAATTTTATACTTGGGTGGGGGAAAAAAAAATGAAATGACTACAAGTACTTACTTCGATGATGTTGTGCATGTGCGGTAGAAGTCGATCCATCCGAACTTCAAGCAGCATGACCAAAGCTCTACAGACATATTTCCGTACTTCTGCCTCATCATCAGATGCCAAACAAAATAAATTCTACAAAAAATAAAATAAAAGCATAAGTAAATAGAGCTCTGAAAATTTGTATCAAATAAGATTCATAAACATAATAAATAAGAGGTGAGATAAATTAGAAATTCACAAGTGTACAGCAACAGTGTAAAATAGCAGCCACTGTTACTATACCCAATATTGTAAATTGTGGTAATAGGTTGCAAAACTTTGGCTGTCTCCAAAAATGTTTTTGAATGGTTTTCAGAAAGCACTTCAAAAAGAGGAGACACCATTTCACATAATTTCAATCAAATTAACCTGGGTGAAAGGTTTTCACAGTTAATAATACAGCCTCATTTCCATCCTAATAATAACATAACCACAAATTTTCCGGCATTATACAAAGCAAAATTATGATCCTTTCCCTTTTTTCAGATTTGAAAATATTGTCAAAACTTACTTGAAGAAAAGCATCGATATGTAACATTAGTGCTTGGGAGCGACTGTTGATAAATTGATTTGTACACGCCACAGCATGAGACCTGGAATCATAAGATATAAAATACTGGTGTTAGGAGACTCAAGGTTCGCAGTAGTAATATTTTCGTAGGAAAGATAGAGATTTTTTATCTAATTCTTTTCAAGTTGATTTATTATCAAATAACAACTGACAGGAGGTTTTAATGTATTATGTTGAAGCTTTCCACATTTGAAAACGTTTTGCGCAGATTGCAATACTGACAACGCTAACAATTTTTTAGCAATTTACACTAACTTGTTTAACTGACTTGATTAACACATGAAAATGTGGGCGTAAAATCTTAAAGGACCCATTTTATGATAAAAAAGTATAAAAATTATTTTGCTGTAGGATGTTTTAGTGTGCACAAAAACCTAAAAGAAAGGTTAAGAAGTTTAATTTCAATAGAATTACAAGCAATGTATGCCTTTCAATCGTACCCATTGAAAGTTTCTGTCAAGGACTCCTCTGAGAGGCACATCATGCCTAATATGCACATTATGCCATTATGCACTAATATGAATTAATCAGAGGCCTAAAGGGACTGCAGGTACGCATTATTGCAACTATCAGCTGCCAGATTTATAAAACATTCATGGCATCGCGGAAACCACGTAAGTCAGGTCTTTCCAGTACAGTTCACACTTTTTACAATTTTTAAGCAAAAAAAAGAACAGTTGCCCTTGCGTATGAGCCTAAAAAATAATCCTTAACCACAAATTGGCAAAATTCAGAATAATGAGAGCAGGATTCTTTTCGGAAAAAAACTCTGCCTTTATTTCTCTGAATTTGTGATTCGCAAATCAAATGGTTTTTCTTTTGGTTGAGAATGATTTTTTAGGCTCATACGCAGGGACTATCATCCTTTTCTAGGCTAAAAGTCAAAATCTACTGAGATTTTTACTTGATTGAGGTGATCTATCGCACATCAATTTGACCACTCCAAAATCCAAGACGAATTAACTTGGAACTGATAGTGATAGGAGAAGGAAAAAAATGCTTACCTAATTTTGGGGCTAGAATGTCTGAAAAACTGAAGGAACTTGGGAATAAGTACATTTAAAGGTCTGTTGAGCTCATCAGTATCTAAATCATCCGCAGAATCTTCACAAATTTTCTGCAGAGCTCCAAAAGCACCCTGAAAATATAAGAGAGCTACTTGTAAAAGCAATAAAAAAAATTTGCATACACACGTTGAAGACCCACATGACTAGAGGGTACTTAGTCCATGAAATTCTGTTCAGATCGAGTGACCGCTTCCTAGGTACTTTCAAAATTACTTAGTGGAACTTCTATTATTTCAAATTTTTCAGCAATTTTCTTCATTTTAGAAAGAATTCTTCGCGAGAAACATTCTTCATTTTAGAAAGAATACATTGTCAATTTCCTTGAATTAGAACACGCAAGAAGGATAGTCCAAAAACTCATAAGCATCAGCATCAAATGTTGATAGTGGCTTCAGCAGGCTCATAGGTTTTCGAACTTCTCTTTTTCGGCAAGTCAGAGCATTTAAGTGATTTTAAAATTGATCAGCCAAAAAAGGTTGGAGTCATAATACTTAGTGAACATGCTAAACATTATCAACAATGGATACTGGAGTGTATGACGTTTTGAATTTCCTTCCATTTTGCTTGAATAATTGATTCATTTGCCACATTTCATTCAAAGAGTATCAGATCTATTCGAGTCTACATCTGAGATGCTTGACTTTTCAGTAAACTTCTTATGTTACAGGTAAATTAAAATACATAAATTTGGGACAAATAGGTGGTAACTGATTTCTTGGAGGCTGTAAAGCTGCTTATAGGTGCCCAAAAAAAATGTCGGTATTCTCAAATGTTTAGGAGGCCAATAATAATAAAACAAACTGTCTTAATTTTCTCCATTTCAGTAAAGAAAGGTTCAGAGGATGAAATGTACAAATTGGCTGAGAATCGTTATTTTCTTAGTGCCTTCAGACTTCGTAAAAAATTATGGAGTACGCACTGACTTAAAATGGAATTTTTTCGACGGCTTCTCATGGGACTTTGCAAAAAGGACTTAATTTTTTCCCCATAAACGCTACGGATGTTCATAGATTTACCTAAGTAGAACAATCAAAACAAAAAAAATGTTTGAAATATCCAAAAATACATTTTCTAGAGCCTGTTTAAGATTACTTTTCCTCTTACACCGTATGCACAGGATAGGGAATTCCCTATCCTGCGCATATAGAAAAAGAGGAAAAGTAATCTGAAACGGGCTCTACATCTCTGGCTGCGCTGCCTAGGTACTACAGATCAAGGCTTTGGAAATCTTGAGCCGACCATATTGACTGATGCTCGCAAAGCAATTAAAAACTCAGATTTTCAAGGACTTTTTCTTGTGTTACTTATACACTAAATTTGGTTTGAATTTGTACTAATAATGGTTAGCAATGTCATTGAGCACTTCTCAGAAGCAAGTGATTTGCAATCTCTTACCTCGCAAACATTGTAGTTCTGCGAATCTAACATGTTACAAAGGGCAGGGAGGAGTTCCGGCCATGATCGCAGTTCTCCTTTTGATGCTATTGTTGTGATAAGAATACCAACGGTGGCCCGAATCAAAGGCGACGGATCACCTACAGCCGACAGACACTCTTGTTTGATGAAATCGGTGACAGTTGGCAAAAACGTATTGTAGTGTGCCTTGAGGTTGTTTTTCAAGATTAATCCACTCAGCGAACGGGTTGGTTCATCTGGAAAGAAACAAAAAGAGGAGAGAATTCAGAATTCATGCGTAACTAAAAATATTTCCAGCTAATAAACAAATGTGGATATCTTTGAAAATTATTTGACACAATAAGAAAAATTAGGTTTTAAAGACTTGAACAGTGCCTAGCCTTCGGTGGTTGTGGAGCTCCACAAGAAACAACATTGAAGAGAGTTCTTGATCTTCTCATTTCTTTAGCTGGTCTTCTCACTCTAAAAACCCCTTTTCATCCAAAAATTTGAAATACTGTGACTTGTAGGTAATCTTATATTCGCCAATTACTGCAGTTATCGAAAAACTTTCAAGTTTCATGGCAATTTTTGAGGAAACACAAATTTATCGCAATTGCTCGCTGGCCTTCCCATTCTTGCAACCTACCTACCTAACATGAGTGCATGATCAGGGAGTTTCTGCACCTCAGAAAGGTTTCCACTTGTCAAAAAGTGATAGAGGGTCTCTATTTGTCCGAAATAAATTGAGCGTCATCACTGAAGGATCCATCAGACAACATTACTTCATTCAGTGTAAGAATTAAGTAGGTAAATGGCAATTAGAGTCCACTTTGACAACAAATTACTCAACTGGATTCATAAATAGGCCCATTGCATCTCACAAGTTACTTCATTCTGGTCGAAAAGATGCGAATTTGTTCACCAATAACCTGATTACCTAGTAATAATTTCAGGAGTCTGCTCACCCATAATGGAGCAATAAATTACTTCTCTAGTTTTCCACCATTTCAGTACCAGAGAGAAAGATCAATGAGATTTTACTGTATTATCTTACTGCTGACAGCTTCGGTGCATCAGAGGTGAAGAAAAAATACGCCTGAAATTAACCTCAAACAAGTCTACTTACGAGATTCTTAAAGTAGAGTAAGATATCTTAACCTTAATTTTAACAGGATGAGGAGGATGGTTATTCTCTACAAAGCGATTGTAGCTCTTTACAACGTAGGACTAACATAAAGAGCTAACATAAAAAAGTGTCTACTTACCTTCAGATGTTAGGTTCGTTAGGACGAAAATCAAGTAGTTGTTGAAATCTGGATACCTATTCAGCTCTTCCAATTTCTGCGAAAAGAAGTAAGTTAAGGAAACTAAGAGACTAAAGTACAATGAGTGCAAATAAAACAGGGGCACACATAACAGTATGTAAGTTGAGTGGACAGGAACGCGATTACGACCAGGGCCTCCAATTGATAAGATTGCGCAAGAGTCCAGTGACTCAGGAGAGTTTTGTCTGGGTTAATAACTAACAAAGCTGATAGAGAAAAAACAAAAAGCAGTGAATATGACTTTGGTAAGGTATCATACGCTGCTGACTAAACTTAACCTACAGGAAGGAAGCATTCTGAGGAATCGTAGACTAGACGTCACGAAGAAGGTAATGGTGTCTCATAGCTAATGAACCGAGGATCATGCGGGCATAATACATGACAAGGACTTCTTTCAGACTGCAGTAAACGAACAGTAAGAAGTATAAGACCTCAGAAATCTATGAAAATAACAGTTCTTCAAAGGATACTTGTTGTACAGCTCGCTGGATTGCGTTGTCGGGAGATTGAGATTCCTTTAAAAGCTGGAGAATTTGCCGTAATCCTTCTTCTTGCGGCGTCCACGCCATTATAATCACTAAATAAAACTACTAATAACACTTGGTATTTTCGCGAAACGGACACAAGAAAAGGAAAAAGATGCTTGAGAGACTCAACCTCAACTTTTTTGACAACGGAAATCTGTTATGTGGTGACGTCACAGGCGCATTAATACGCATCATGGTTCCGGAAAGGGGCACACATTCTTTAAAAATCCTCTGAGCCTCCAAATTGTCACCATAATTTGACAGCTTTTAAAAATGCATCCAATTTTTTCGGAATGCCATGAGCGTCCATGAATAAATTCTCAGGACAATCCTGTACGTTTTTATAGGTCTCGGTACTTCACCGCAACCGTACCACTACTTATCTTACGCCGTGGGAGAGTAAAAATAGTTCTTTCTTTAAAGTGATAAATTCGGCCGATATTAATTTTTACGAGATCCCCGGCATTTAAAAATCAAAATGCAAGCGTTTAGCTATTGTAGCGATGTGCGCTTTCAATATAAATAGTTGCCTCTGCTTCCGTAGTGGGTTTTACGAGAGTCCAAGCCCGCCAGATTACGGGGTCCGAACTGAAAATCGATCAAAATCGGCCGCCACATGGAGTTGCCGGCTCTTTCGCATCTTTCCATGCGGTAATTGACTTAAAAATGCCCGAGCCTGTTGAATAGCACGAGTTCCCGATACGAGCAACCTCGAGCAGTTTATACGCGCGCCTCAGATCGGCTGGCAAATTCGAATAGCAAAACTGCAAAAAAACCGTTATATTTACCCGCAGGGCTCGGGGTTAGACGGGAGGGGGTTGGAGAGACGGACATTACGGAACCGTGTTGGGGGAGAAGGGGGGCAACGCCCCAATGGATGCTCCTCCACCTCGAAAAGAAAATGAATTTTGGTCTGAAAAAAATATGCAGAATTTTCCTCTTTTTTCATCTGCAAAAACAATGACCTTTAAAACTTTTGAAACTTTTTTGAAAAACTTACGCTTCCACTAATTTGTTATTTTTCGAAAAATAACAAATTAGTGAAAGCGTGAGTTTTTCAAAAAAGTTTTAAAAGTTTAAATACAGCTTACCTATATTGTTTTTCAAAAATTTCGATTATTTTATTTAAAATGACCTTTAAGTTCTATTTGTCCATATAAAAATGAATACCTACATGGTTTTATCTCTGCTTCAACCACGAGGCAGTGCCGGAATCAACTTAATCATCTCATAGTCTCGACTAATTAGCGATGCCTTGTTAAGAACATTTTAAGTATATAAAAGAGGATATCTCCTCTCGTTCAGTTTTTAATAAAAATAAAACTAATAGGGGACATATCCTTCTATCAGAGACAAAACAGAGAAAAAATTGGTATCAAAAAAGTTTTTTCACACTTTTTTTTCTTGCATCATTTTTGTATCACTTAATTTCAAAAAAGTTTTACTACAGCCTTACAAAAACATGTTGCAGATGTTATAATGTACCTATGTTGTATACTTTGCAGTCAATTCACTTCGTCATTTGTAAAAATAGTAGTGATTTTTAGGATTCAACACAATTTTTTAAGCTGGTTTTCTTTTCATGCCTAGGATTTATTTTTTATTTTTTTTACATACCTAACTCTGCATAGATGTCACTTGAATAAGACAGACATGGATATTCTTATTGGCGTTTTATGAGAAAGTTTCTCACTTTTTAGGTATATATTTGGAGTTCAATGCTACAAGAACTCTTTTCTCTGTGACTACTGAGAAAATTCTATTAATAATTACTTAAGGCGAAAATAGATGGATTTCTTATAAAAAAATTAGAAACAAACTTACATTCTAAAACAATAAACAGGGTTTTTTGTTAATATTCACCAATAAAAATGGATGGCATAACTCAAAGACCTTGTAACTTGATTTGTAACACTGCAGACTTCCATCTTTTATTTTTTAATTAGCAAACGAATTGATGCAATGTCTGATATAAGATTCATAGATAGTTTCCGAATTGAGCCATCAACACCTATGTAAGCATTAATTTCATACAATGATGAATGAAAAGGAAGTCATGATACAGACAGAGGAATACTTTTAAATTTAGGTTGAAAGATTAATTACAAGAATGAGACATTCTGAAAAATTTAAAAATTAGAATTAGAATTAAAGGTTATAGCATGAGGAAAATGAGAAATCAATGGCTGCAAGAATTTACAAAAATCATGTTCTTTAATCAAATCAGATTGATAACATATAAAAATACAAACGTTTGAAATATATTCGTCCAGAGGTTTAACATAAAATAAAATTATTTAGAGTGATCAAAAGGGTGGTTCATTTTTAGAGAATTTCATCAATTCTTCGTTTTTGGAGTACCTACTACTAACGCATGCGCATTTTTAAAGTGGTTCTTATTGAACAACCTTAAAAGTTTTGCTAGGCAAGATAACTGAAGGTTTTAAATTTTCTAACATTCTTCAAAAAAGAAAGTTAAATACTGTCTTTTTCAGAAAGTCATTCTATCGAACAAGAAAGGATGATATGGGCTGTAACAAGCTTTCCAAAATTAGAAGCTTTCTAGCTATTTTAGCTTTCTTTGGCCTGGAAAAAACTTGAGGGATTGCTAGATGGTAATTTGAAAGTTGGAAAAAATAGTAGATCAAATACATACAAAAATAATTGAAATTCTCGAAGAAAAAACACTATTTACGATTAAAATTACTATCATCACAATACTGGTGTTTTTACAAAAATAAATTATTGAAAACGAGAACTTACATGCAAATCAATTAAAAAAGGGCACTAGGTATATTCTTCTTAAGAAATTTTACAAATACTTCATTAGTGGACCAAAAAATACGAGCCCAACAAGTATGCCACTAAATAGAGTGAACCTACCTACAAAAAGAGTTTTAAAAAACAAGCCACAGTCCATTGTAGAATTTAAGTAGATGCACACTTTTTTCAAAACAGATTTTGTTATTATATATGTCTCTTTTGCTTAGTAGCATCTGTCTCTTAATGTAAAAATAAAAACAGTTAAAGGAAAGAGGAAAATCTGGAAATTTAGGGGAGAAACAACAATGTAAGGGAAAAAAGGAACCAAATAATTTTTCTCCAATACATACGAAATTGATCAGAGACAAAAAAAAAAGACGTTTCTTCTGTGAAACATGGGCAATTCTTCCTGAAAAATCACTCTTAACCTCCTACATATAAATTTTCGAAGTTGCAAAAGCTACATAAGAGGGTTAGTGCTACATAGTTGACCAACAAGGTGTTTTTCTTCACGCAAGGACAAAGCACCAAGATAACGTACTGGCACTTTTCTTTTTTCCTAGAAAAACAGCCCTAGCTGACCACTGGGAGGATATAAAAATTTAAAAAATTGATGACACAGGGACCATTGAGCAAGTTTATACACGAAAATGCCTATATGTAACAGATTAAGTAAAAAGACAGGCTTCTGTTGTGTAAATACATCAAAATCACAATTTGAATTTAAAAAATAGTCGCATTAAGGTGAAAATTAGTCGATATTTTATGTATTCAATCTCTGATAAATTACGTACTATGTGACATTAGTGTCTGAGAAGCAATGATTTTGACCCAATTTTTTTGGCTAATTCGGCTCCCTTGAATACTTTGCTCAAAAAGTCGCAGGTATTTTTTTTCCAAGACACGCTATGTCCATGAACCTGCCATTGTTGAAGGCAAAGAGTATTAGAAATTCAATGGTTAGTCCATGCGGGGGAAAAATTGTTGGTCAAAATTGTAAGGATATGCTTAAAAAGTCACTACAAAAGCAATACTTTAACTCCCCTATTGTCAATAGACAGTCCCTCCATGAATCTCAAAACAGCACTTACAAGTCAAAACATGTATTTTCACTGAGTCTTCGTCACCAAAATTCAAAGTTGGATGTTGACAAACAAAAAGTGATGAACTCTACATATAAGTCTAGAGAAGAACATATCCTTCTGATATTGCACTAGTATCAATTCCAATCCATTTGAAGCCTTAATTTTAAGTACGGATTACTTCATTGGGCAAATACGTATACATAAATTACAGCGAACAGGAATGAAAATGAGTCTTCACAGATCAATATTGGAACTCGGACACATGTATTGCATTTTATAATATTGCAGATTTCCTATCTTTACTAAATAAAACAACAAATGCACAGTTTTTAGACACTTTTGTGATACTCAATTTGGGCTTCAACTTTGCTTTGTAAGGACGCCTTGAGCAATCGACAATCCCTCATTGCGACAAAGTGCTACACATGGTCCGATTTGACGTTTCTTGAACCCTTAATGATTTTAATTTTTCAGTCTCGAGCACTCAGTCTGAATTCAGTTCACTCTTGAAAAATTAACAAAACAATCTATTATTACGAGTGTAAAATACTTACAAAGGGTGTATGTTTTATAAAACTCAAGGTCTAAAAATAGGATGTCACGAGAAAATGGAAGTCAATCCATGATCAGAATAAGGTTAAAGAGGTGAAAACCATTATCGTAACCTAATGATCCAGACAATAGACAAGTATGATGATCAGAATATTTTTGCACGAGCACTAAACATTAATCTTGAAGCAATTGTTAGGTGTGAAGAGTTGGAATTGCAAATATTCTGGGAATATAGTAAAAATCCATTGCACGACTTTGATAGTACACTCAGCAAAATCTTATTCGGAGGAATTTCTTAAACTCAGTGGAGAATTCTAGGAGTCAAATTTATCAAAAAAATTAATTATTCACTCCAGCTGAGTTTCCTACATCCAGTTTCAGAAATCAATTGGGAAATACAACTAAAAGTTTGACGTAGCTGGTCTCTGTTTAAATGTAAATAAACCGTTTCTTTACAGGAGAGTACAAATATAGTGAAAAGGAAAAAAATATATCACATACTTATAAAGTATTCTCTGCAAAATTGCACAAAATCAAATAACAATGTTTCACACACATTTTTCAGAAGAAAAGAGGAGAGAGAAAGAGAAAAAAATAAAACGGCCGCTGTGACAGATATAAGAAAGGAAAACTGCAAAAACATAAAAACGCAAAATTTAAAAAAATAAAATACTTCATTACAAAAATAGCAAAACGTTAATGCTGCTTGATGTCATGCTTAAAATTATGACACTCGACGAGAGCCTGTGTAAAGTAAGGCTCCTTACTTTTTCTCAGCAGCTAATGAAATGTGATCAAAGGAGATTTAGAGAATTTTATCGAAAACTTGTCTCAAACAAGAATTAAAATTCCCTGAAAAAAGATACAGAACTGGAAATGATACAATTTTACCATTAACAAAGATTATATCTATAAATTCCAAACAATTAATGGTCTTTGAAACAATAAATTCCAAGGAAGTTGATATTTATTGCAACAGTGTTTAAATAGTCATATCATATCTTTCTTGTATCTTCCGTATTTTTCCTGAAATAAAATTGCTCTTCAAATATTTGTTCAATCATAGAGAGAGAGAGAGAAGGAGTTAAAAAAAAAAATTGAACGGCTTGTTGATAACTCATTCCAAAAGAAATATGGAATGCCCTTAATTGATTTTTTGTAAAACTAATATTTTTGGTGACTTGTTACTTAGCGTTCAATTTCCAATGTCTGGGCACTCTTACATTTTTGCATGCAGGATTAATAAGTTTAATTATTACGCAACTAGTAGCTCTGATTTACCAATAATCTAAGAAAAAAAGATCTCACAAATTTACTTGATACTTCATTGAGTTACTGAGAAAGAGAGACTGAGCATAACGATTCTTAAAATTAAAAGAGCAGCAAAAGACTAGAGGTTAGGAGAGCAGTAGTTTGTACAGACTTAATTCTAGAGTAAGTTTTTTGGATTAGAGGGTAAACTTGTCAAATAATAATTCTTAAGACTTAAAAAAAAAGTATAAAAAGAAAAGACACTAAATCTAAGTATATCTGAGCTAACATGACGGCTGGCTGGCTTACATGATAGAAAGTTTGGATAATCTGGGGTTTTTTTTACTAACAAGCTTATTGTACGAGGGGCGTTCAATAAGTAAGTATCCCTCCTTTCTAAAATCCATAAGAATGGACCAATTTTAAAAAAACTTGGGCTCAAAATCTTCCTTAGGATATTTTGAGTTCAACAAAACAAACCGCAACAAAATCGGACAATGTGCGGCCGAACGCGAGCCGTTTGAACGCGCCGAGGTGCTCGACGCTCCCGCCGAATCCGCGAGGATTTGAAGTCCGCTACAGGAGAAGAGCTTCTCTGCCAAAGCCTCAGTCGTTCATCACTGACGAAAAATCAAAGAAATTTTTGTAGAATAAGGGGCTTACCTCACTTCTCCACATAACCAGCTCGATCCAAGCAAGTCTGATACTGAGACTAAGACTAAGAGAACAGCTTTTGGATGCCTCGTGCGTGGAAGTCTTTCAGCTGACCGCGGATGAAAGAGTGGACGGCTTGTTTGACCTCTTCCACTGATTCAAAATTAACTCCTCCAAGTTCAGATTTCAGATACGATAGTAAATGGCAAACCAGACCACCATTTATTCCCGTTCCTGAAATCTGAACTCGGAGGAGTTAATTTTGAATCAGTGGAAGAGGTCAAACAAGCCGTCCACTCTTTCATCCGCGGTCAGCTGAAAGACTTCCACGCACGAGGCATCCAAAAGCTGTTCTCTTAGTCTTAGTCTCAGTATCAGACTTGCTTGGATCGAGCTGGTTATGTGGAGAAGTGAGGTAAGCCCCTTATTCTACAAAAATTTCTTTGATTTTTCGTCAGTGATGAACGACTGAGGCTTTGGCAGAGAAGCTCTTCTCCTGTAGCGGACTTCAAATCCTCGCGGATTCGGCGGGAGCGTCGAGCACCTCGGCGCGTTCAAACGGCTCGCGTTCGGCCGCACATAGTCCGATTTTTTTGCGGTTTGTTTTGTTGAACTCAAAATATCCTAAGGAAGATTTTGAGCCCAAGTTTTTTTAAAATTGGTCCATTCTTATGGATTTTAGAGAGGGGGGATACTTACTTATTGAACGCCCCTCGTAGCTATTCATTGATAAGATGTGACAAAATGAATTAAAATAAATGCTGTAAAAATTGTGCTGTGGCCAGTTTCTTAGAAGCCATTGCTTGCTCCTCTGAGGAAGCAGAAAATATCTGGGTAATTTTCCCATTCTTGATGCTGATGCGTCCGATTTTCGATTTAAGTAGCGAAAGACATCTCATTCAATATTTCTACCAAAAATGTGTTTAGATAATCTGCACTTCAGGTAAACTAAAAATGCGTAGTGAAAAATTGAGGAAGATGATTGTCTCCCTGATTAAATGATGATGTAAAATATATTCAGCGATTTCACAATAACCTAAGATTTTCCTATTAAATACAAAATGGAATTGCATGGATTAAGTAATAAAATAAATGATGCTCAAAAACTGGCATTTTACGCATTGTGAGCTTTCTGTTTTGATTTAACAGAGGCATTAAACGTTTCCTACCAAAGTATTAATGCATATTACTTGCCGAAAAATGGCAAACTTCCGTAAATGATTGAAAAAAAAAAAAAAAAAAAAAAAAAAAAAAAAAACTCTAGATGTACAGTCAAAATATTTGTTTGCCAAAAGCTTGCACCCAGTCTCCTTTAGAGCGCCATTAATTGCTGACATCAGTTGACATCAAATCTGGTGGTGTTGGCCTCAAAAAGCCTGATGCTTGCAGGCAACATATTAAAGATAACAGTCAAGGAATCACTGGCCACTTTAGGTGAGTGGCTTTCTTTCGTACCTCCTTACTCTATTATACATAGAAGTTCTATACAAAACACCATTTTGTACAGTGCAAAATCCAAAAAACATAGCTGTGATGTGCAATAACAAGTATACTAGAAACAAGCGCTCAACAAAACTTCTATGCATTAACAATTTCTTACGTTGTTTGAATACTTTTAATGTACATCTAAGAAAATTAATGTACAGTAAAACCAAAGGCCTAGAAGAGAGAGAAAATGAGTGGAGTTTTTAAGTTGACTAAGATAGATCCTTTCTACCATCTTTCAAAAGAAAAAAAAAGCTTCTTTACACCTTCCAGGAGGATATATTTAAGCTCTTACGGCTCAGACTCCATTACGTTCCTCTTCAATTACATTGATACAAAAGGGGAAAACCAATACCAGAGCCTGAATTGAATACTGACCGACTGAGCGTAAGATATGGCTGGCTCAAACCGCCCATTAGTTAAGTGTAAACTCCTTGATTGGCTATACTCTGTGACTCTGGATTGTGTTCACTTGATATGAGGTAAAGTGTAGGTCAACAAAATTCAGGCCTTGCAGATACGCAGACAAAAATCATCTTATTTTTGAGCGTAAAGTTACGCTTAAGATACATTGGTTTTAATGATATTGAAATCGGTAAGCTTCAATAAACATACTATTCTGATCCTTCAAGAGATTCAACCTAAGAACGAAACAGAATTTAAATCAGCTTTGCTCGAGTCAGGCTTGCCTTGAATTGGCAGATTTGTTCGAAATTCATTTCTAACAAAATTGTTTTTAAGAAAAAGCAAATACTAAAATATTTAGAAGAAATGTGTGGGAAATACCAGGATGGATGCTGCGAAATATTTACTGCTTTTAGAGTTAGTTTTGTTGTTTAGCTTTCAGGGTTTTTGGGCTTCCACACTTCCACTGTATTGTCAGTGGTGCCAACTGCTAGGGTGCAGTTGTTGTAATCAACCTGAAACACAACATTAGTGATGAAATGTACCATAGTAATGATGAAACACAACCAAACTGATTGCTCCTGAAATCTACAGAGTCAATTTTGAAATGAGCTCTGAAGTACTGAGGGATGTAGGTGTTCTGGATCCTATTTAACCAACATTCTCTTTTAGCAAGTGAATTGATGTAACTGAAATTAATATGATAAATGAATTCAACTTTATACGGGTTCTCCAATTGAGTTTAGCTTGAAAAGGTGTCCATTTTCAAAACCTGGTGTGGAGTTGGCTGCAAAAATAAATTTAGGGGTAAGGTCACTCAGTTAATCCAATTGTTAGAGCTAATTTTTAAAAGTCTGTTATGTATTGAAAATACAAGTACTTACAGATGTAACTTCTCCCGAATATGGCAAATGCGCGATTAACATGTGAGGCAAAGTTGCAGTAAGAACACGAACATATTTATTTGTACTTCCTACAATTACACAGCCAGGGCCATGCCAAATAGATGAGACTTGATTGGTTGCATGACCTGGTGGTGTTTGGTCAACATCCGTATCTATGACGTTCACGTTTTCTATATGTGCTGTCTGAAAAAGATGATAAAATTTGCTAAATAATAAAAAATTTACCAACATTGAAAAGAGAATTTTTAGGAGAGGTGAAAAGAAAGTATGATGCCGTAAAACATATTATTTTCGAAAGTATTCCAAAAACAACTCTTTTATTTTTTTTCAGTTCTTCATTAAGGCATCCAATAGTTAAATGTCTCAATTAATTAAAAATTGTTGCTTAGGCTGATTTCGAGGCTTCTCTGACGATGGACTTCTGCTTTTTAAGTCCATATAACTCCATACTTTTTGAAGCTCTTGTAGAAATAAAGATACGACTTTACATCCGAAACATAACAATTTTCGTGTACCTAAGAAGTGGAGCAAAATTTTTTCACAATTTACCTGAATATGTGAGAAGGATCCATCTTTGGAGTCAAATACGTGAAGGTTTCCTACGTTATCACCAACATACAACAAGTTGTACTTGTGAGACAGGCTTTTGCCAAAGTTGCCTCTGTTCCTTTTTCTCTGAAAATGATAAATATTAATTATATAAAACATTATTATAATTCTTTTTGGCAAGAACGTCTCGGAAAAGAAGTTTTGCGGGGAAGTCAGGGAAAATTTTTCAAGCCTATCAAACAAGTCTTGTGTCTTATTGTGTCTATTCTCAAGTTCAGACCATGCCTAAAGCTGTTGAGATTAGGAAGAATGCCATACATGCCATAGATTTTGTCAAACTTTCTTTGACAAATCACAAATTTTCAAGGAAATTTGTGAGAGTATTTCTTCCAAATTTTCAGGTAATTTCGTTCTTAATTTAATCCAAAATGTTTTAAATTTCAATAAAGAATATTCATAACTTTCCTCAAAAATAAGTATTTTCTGAGAGTAAATTTGGCGATACATCAATGTTCAGACGGCATTTTTCCTTTGCATAGCAGGATGGCCCATTGACATTGAGTTATCTCTGAATCACCATTGAATTTCTTTCTTTCTTTCATTCCATACATTTTATCCATTTTTCATAAAATCAAAATTCCCCAAATGATCTCTCTACAGAAATATCATTTAATAATCAAATAAAAATAACCTTTGTATTACACATTTTGTATATTTTTGATAGATACAACCAAAAAAAAAAAAAAAAAATAAATTAAAAAAATAGAAAGGTTAGTTTTATTTTGTAATTAATATTAGATACTACTACCAGTATGTTGAAATATGATTTGTTAAAAAAGTAAATATTTACCATAATGTTCTGAAAAATGACTGAATCAGTTCGAAGGTCATATACCGAGACAGTCTGATCAGAACTGGATGAGACGATGTAATTATCAACTAAGCAAACTGCAATGACAGATTGCCTGTGCGAGGTGTATTGCTTTAAGGGCGTTGGACCAGCCCGAGGATCGAACAAAACCACTTGTGGAGAGTATGTACCGGCAACTATGAGATCCTCTCTACAGTCAACACACAGTGCTGCAGTTTTTACGCTGAAAAAATAAAATAAAAATGAAAATCAGTCAATCACCACTCCTTGATTTGAATTTCAAGAACAACTTTCCGTATGAATATTAGAATTTAAATTTTAATAAAATTTTTAAATTTTAAAAACCATTCCTTGAATTAATATTTAATCAATTTTTTCCTGCACAGAGAGCCCAAAATTTTTGAACTTTGAGTCGCTGACAAGGGACGGCTCCACAGTTAAATATCTTCACAGCTTAAAATAGGGCAAGTAATCATCAAACTTGACATTTCCAGCCATTGTGCAAAATATTAATTTGGCAATGGCAATAATTAAAGCAAAAGAAAGAAAACAGAAAGAGAAGAATTTCAAACACTTCATTCAGTCTAAATATACAGTTTCCAAGTTTAGAAGTGTGGATATTTCAGAGGGATTGTTTTGACGTCGTTACGCTTGGCCAAAGAGATTTATTTACTTGGGGAATTCACTGCAGATTGACTTGATTTGTGTAAATGCATCCAATCACTAGACACCACTTTCTAGGTTGAGATGGATTGATTAATGAGTCAATTGCAATGGTCACAGAATGGTGTTTCGATGGTGTAAACTTTCACGATGCAGGGTTGCCATAATTTTTTCATCTTCAAATTCCCTGAATTTCCCTGGAATTCTAATAACTTCCACCTTGATTTTTTCCCTTTAAATTATGTACATACTTCTGCTAAACACACCTTGCAAAGTTCCTTGGCTTTTCCTGTGAGTTCCCTAACTTTCCCTGACCTTCCCGGTTTTCCAAACCACCGGAAACCTTGCATTCGCAAGGTCGAATAATATCTGCTCAAATGACAAGTTTCTACAGTCAACAACGGAGCTGCCCCTTACAAAGAGGAAAGACACAGCGTATGACGTCATCTACTATAGCAGTTCATACCATTCTTTCCTACACTTTGGTTTCATCAATTTGTAATAAACATTCTTGCACTGGTTCCTCGATGTAAAACATGGCTGGAACGACGGTCGAAGAAACCAGTGTGCATAATTGTTTAGATGAAGATGACGTAATAAAATGTGTTTTCCCATGGACGAAACTTCCGTTGATATGAGATATAGAAATTTGGCATTGGGCAGACTACCTCATTAATCCTAATTAGTTACCTTTTTGGTAAGCTATAAGCGTAAACCATCAAAATAAAATTTAGCAACAAGCTCAACTGACCCATAATCCGCTAAGCCTGAAAACCATGTTTATTGTACTCAGTTAACCCTGTGCTAGAATCATTCACTCACAACGAGAAATCAAACACTTTAAATTAAAACTGTAAAAAATTCTTCATACGGGAATCTAGCAACTTCATCCAGAGTGACGTTTAAATTCCATTGCTTCACAGAGTGATCCCAAGATGCCGAGTAAAACTGCTCGTCAGACTGCACGGCAAAATTCCACACCCAACCATCATGAGCACTTGTTGACAGGATCAGTGGAGCTGGACTCTCATCCTCCACATTCCACACACCGATTGCACGATCTCGAGAGCCAGAAAGACATAACGTTCCACCCTAACAAAGAGAAATTTCCATTTAGCAATGCATGTAATTAAATTGGAGAGAAGAAAATTGTGAGAATGACAAATTTTTGAACATTTGGGGTTTGTTTTTTTAAATTTTGAAGAGGACTTTTAAATAGTCGTATTTTGTTCGGAGACAACACTCACAACATGTTGGGAAAACAAGCAACAATCGCAATTTTTTCGAAGTTGTTTTGTGTTGAGGGGGCAGGGCTTATTTTTGCTCGCAAAATTTGGGAACTCCAACAGCAACATTGTTGTACAACAACTGCAACAAGCTCAGAGGCAAGTCGTTATTATGTTGTTCAAAAAGGCAACGCTGTTTTTGAAACTAAAATTGGAAGTTGCTCTCTCATTGGTTGTTCAAAATCGCGTAAAAAAAAACAAGAAAAAAACGGAAACATTTTGTTGTTTCGAACAAAACTCGTTTCTTACTTCTTGCCAAATGATTGCTGACGACTAATTTTGTTGCCACAATGTTGTGCTTTTATTTTTTCAAACACAGGGTGTCTACAAACTTAGAGGGAAAAAAGTCCCTGACTTTACAAGGTCTTCCCTGAACAAAATGATCGAAATTCCCTGACTTTTCACATGAACAATTTGCATGTTTAGAACTGAAAATGAACCATTTTTGCCATTGATGCCATTGTAGATAACAGTAACATTTTAGGTTTCAAGATGTTTCCAATTTCCGGTCTTTTTCATAAAATTCCCTAACTTTACCCTGATGATGAATCCCTGTATTCCATGTCTTCCAGATTTGTAGATACCCTGGAATGTTAAGATCCGAATGTTCTACTTCATTTTAACTGAATGAGTAATCAATCACCCACAGGTAAAGAGACCTTAGTGCCAAAAAATTAAAACTGAAATATTGGTACCACTGTTCAATGGATGTTTTCTGCACATCTTGGCACAGAAACTTCCCCGAAATGTCAAATCTGAGCTAGTCAATGACGTTTCGAAGTTTGCAGTTCGAAAGAGTAGTTTTGGGAAAAAGCCACTTAATGGCTTCATATCAATGGTTAAACTCAGAAACAACGTATCTCCATTGCAATGTTTCAAAATTCCCGCTATTTTATTTCTTCAAAGATAAACAAGCTAGGTAACTTTAGATTTCAACAGAATATTGGACTGACAGAAAGGAAAAAGCAAGGAAGTTTTCAAGAAATGATACTTAGTTGTTTGCCATGTAAAAAATAAAGTATGACAGAAATTCTACAATGCTGCAAACCAAGATACGCATTCCTACAGTTTCATCATTGATCAATCATGCTCAAAGCTCAAAATTGTTGGATTTCATTGCAAATTAATGCTCTCTTTTAGTATGAGACAAAGGTAAACTACTTTTACTGTGCTTGCTGTTGGCAACTAAAAGTCTGATTTTTTAACCAACTTGATAAAAATCAATCCTCTAAAAATTTCCTCTAAACACGTAAGTCCCTTTTTTGTGGATGGCCACACATATGAAAAAAATGAAGTAATGCTTACCTTAATGAGCTTAACACAATCGACAGAGGAGTAGTGAATATCTTGCCACTTGATTCGACGCATATTTGCTCCATTTTTGCCCCATAAATATCTCTGGTAATCTATGTGGTAAGATAGTTCTTTCCAACTAAAGTAATCACCTGGTATGAAGGAAAGAAATAGGTGAATGAGAATAGTATTATTCTGTTCTGATCATCGAAAGGTAAACTGAAAAACGACATTCCTCTATCAGAGTTTAAAAATGTCTGCTCTTATTTTACTATTTCAAGCAAGAAAAGAAAACTTTTCAACTGGAAACTTTTGAAGAATACAACTCACAAACAGAAGGAGAATTAAGGAGGTTTTTTAAAGGAATCTTTAAAAAACCGATGATTGGTTTCCGGATCCAAAAGAATGAGAAATTTTTGTCGTTGCAGAACAATTTGCGTTGTTTTAAGTAGTTTAGACACTGATATGATGTATCATAGGCAAGCAAAAATCCGCTTTTTAGAATGAAAAACATGGAAATGAAACGGACAACTTTAAATCACGTTTTTTTAATGTTTTAATTCTTTTTTCGTTTAATGGTATTCTGCTGATTGCATCTATTTAGTTGCACAAATCAACTAAAAACAGAAATTCCTGGATTGCATTAAAAAAAAAAAATCTTTTGCATCTTTATCTGTGATGCATGGAGAGATGCTGATAAGGCTTGAGGGTGGGTATCTAAAGCACAAGATGCTAATTGCCCTGAAGTGATTCAACAAATTTTCAGGAGAGCAGGACTAGAGAGGAAAAAAAGATGTACTAATACTCCCTCAATGAATTGCATACAACATTCAAGATAAGAGAAGAGAGCTTTTCAGAGTAATAAAATTACTTTAATGTTTTAACTAATTTAATGACACTTACTCAATTTGTCTATGGCAGATTGCGTACAAGGATTGACAGATATCAACCTTGCGATTCGTAATTTCCATACAGATTCGTCTGACAAAATTGTATTGAATCTGGTGCACACCAGTCGCAGAGTTTTAAGTAAAAATCTTGTGTCTAGGAAGGAACATATATGCAGAAAAACCTGTAATAAGAATCAGCAAAACAAAATGATATACTTTGGGACAGGAATAAAAACAACAGTCAGTGGAATAATTTATAGACATTTTTGAATTATTTAAATAGAAAAAATAAAAAATAGATTGTTCTTGTAATTGAATTTTTTTTCAACATGTGCACAGTGGTACATTTCAACAATGAAAACAGCCGTTACTTACTAAAGAACAACTACTAGCAAATTTGATAAATTCACGAGATTGTGCCCTCCAAATTTTCTGGGATCTGCTTCATGGAAGAGGTACTATCAATATCCACTGTAGATCCTGAGATTTAAAAGAATTGAGCTCAGTGTAAGCTGCAACAAGTATGAACTTGGACATTTAGAGGCAAATGACTGTATTCATCTAACAATTTTCCCAATGATCTTTGATATAAAACCTCAGTTCAAGCAATCATTACGCCAATGATCAAAAACTGTTGGTTAAGCATCTCAGTTTTATACCATCGCAACAGAAAATCTAAACTCCTTGCTTATTTGTCTCGTACACTTTTTGCGTACCGAATTTAATACAAATTCTACACTCACCTCAACAGGTAGGATTTGAAAAGGACTTTCATCGGAGTCGCTGTTGTCCATCATTGACGAGTGACTGCTCATCTTTTGTTACGGCTGTTTTGTTACTTATTAAGTGCTACTACTAATGATGCAGGAAAAGGTATGTTATACAGGTTTTCTCACATTAATCACGCCAACAGCATGAAAAATGGTCTAGGAACATAAGTAACGGCAAGGTTGCTGGAAAACTTCTAAGGGCTACAATGATTGCTCTGTCTTCCTGAAAAAAAAAACCTAATTTCTAACAGATTTTGAATAAGTAAACACTTGTTAACAGATGGGGAATATGCGTTCAGAAGTACTTCTTCTACAAAAACTGCGGTTAAAACTGTGAAAGTAATGATTGATGTGTTATTCAAGACATCTGGAAAATTTTGATAAATAACAATAATGACATTTTGATGATATCACGAAAATCAACAAATAAACGGTTTTATAATAAAAACATTCATTCTACTACCCATACTACCATATTTGGATAACAAGGCAGGAAATATTTTTTGCTCTTATAGTAAAAACAGCACTAGGATCTGATTGGTAATTGATAAGTTGACCCACCCTGATTGGTCAATGAGGCTTGTGGCGCGCAGCAGCTTTTTTTTTGAAATGAGAATGAAGAAATAAGAACAGTGTGAAACCCCTTCTGCCTTTTCTGCATATTAATTTTTTTCCATAATCCACATTCAGGAAGAGGAATGAAGAACCACCTTTTGACAAGCTCTTTTCCACACCACCTTAGGAGAGCCCGATCAGACAGAGGATGCGGTGCTGCTCCTGGAGGTAGAGCTTTCGGCGCGTTTTTTTTAACGTGGTATCGCCAAGAGCCCTAATCCACGGGGGGAGGGAAGAGGAAAGGGGAAGAGGAAACGGGGAGAGAAAACAAAAAATAAAACACTTACCAACGCTGGTGCAGCCCCAGCTGTCACTTCTCCTTGTCGTTTTTGATACTGCTGAACAGCAGCTGTCCCTCAGAAGACGGAAGTAGTGCCCTCACCAACTGATTAACGAGGAGAAATAAAACGGTATCTTACCTTCGGTTGCGGGAACGAATCCACCAGCACCAGCACCAGCATCATCTGAAACAGAGAATAAAAAAAGAAAAAAAAAGAATAGAAAAGAAAAAAAAATCGACGATCCCGGTACGACGGTGTCCACCAGCAGCGGCAGCAGCAGAGACCTGAAACAGAGAATAAAAAAAGAAAAAAAAAGAATAGAAAAAAAAAAATCGACGATCCCGGTACGACGGTGTCCACCAGCAGCGGCCTCCCCCAACCCCGGCTGCCGGGGTTCCAGGTTCCTTTCCCACCTCCTCCCTTTTTTTTTTTTTTCCCC